CATGAGGCTCATTTACAGCAGGGCGTATAGTCCTTTGAGGCAAACACAGAATACTGACACTTTGATACCAATCTCTGACCTTTTCTCTAATGTTCTGGAAATACCTACTGGGGGTAGAGAGAGATTATAATAAAAGAGAAAAGCTGCAAAATATACACGATTAATTAAAATGCACAAACAAGGGCTGGGAAGGTGGCTCACTGGGTAAAAGTGCTTGGCCCACAAGTTTGACAACCTGAAATTTAGATTCTGTAATCCAAGTGTGCCCCTCGGGGGAGATGGGAGATAAAGGAAGAGGAATGTCCAGAAGCTCATGGGCTCCCTAGCCTGGTTTATGAAATGCTGTCTCCGAGGAGATAAGGAAGGGCTGGCAGCTGTCCTTTGACCTCCACAGATATGAGCTGGCACGTGCAAGTCAGCACCTCACTCTCCACACGAGCAACCACACACACACACAGTAAAATTCTCAAAAAAAAAAAAAAAAAAAAACTGACATGGGCTTTCGAGATCTCTGACAAACAGAATCATTAATAGGACCAAAACATAGGATTCAGGTGCTGGAAAACAGTTCTTAATAGAAACCTTTAGCCTGGTGTGGTGGCGTAAGCCTTTAATTCAAGTCCTTGGGAGGCAGAGGTGGGCAGATCTTTGTGAGTTCAAGGTCAGCGTGGTCTACATAGGCCCTGTCTCAAAAAGAAAAAAAAAAGTTTAGAAAATAGAACAGAGGCAAAGTCAAAGACAAAATGGGAGGGAGATATTGGCATCACAGCGGAAAGAAAATACAAACCACCTTTAAATCTTTGCAAGGATTTCTGTGTTACTAGCAATACCAAATGGAAGCTAGCTATGCCCCATCCATCAACTGGTTAAGGGTGTCAAAGATGGGTAACGCCTCTGCCAAGATTCTTGAGAGTTGAATTAGATAGTAGCTGTGAGTATAAACTGGGTTTTCAGAGGACACCTGGGCAGGGGCTATTAAAATTTAAAATGCATGTTGACAATTGTTGCCTCTGAAGACCCTCTATCAGGAAGAAAAAAGGTTTTGAGATTTGAAACCACTGCGTAACTTAAAAGAAAAAAAATGTAAGGGGCAGAGCAGTTACAAGTGCACAAGTTACAGGTCTTCTGGCACAGCAGTTCTAAGCACTTGTTACTCTAGCAGAAGACCCAGGTCCAGTTCCCAGCACCCACACTGTTGCTCACAACCACCTGTAACTCTAGGCCCAAGGTATCTGATCCCCTCTTTTGACTTCCATGTGGTACACATACATACATGTAGGAAAAATACTCAAACACATAAAATAATAAATTAAAAAAAATACATTTAAGTAACCATCGAAGAACAAATTCCTATTAAAGACAAACACTGTCAAAACCGGCAGAGAAGTGGGCCTAGATGGTTCTCTCCTGCCGCTTTACCACTCTCCGCTTCAGGAAAGTGTGTGCGACTTGTAACAGTAACTCTTGTTGAGAAATCTAGAAAACAAGCCTGGCATGGTGGTGCACACCTTTGATCCCAGCACTTGGGAGGCAGAGGCAGGCAGATCTCTGTGAGTTCAAGGCCGGCTAAACTGGCCAGGACAGCCAAGACTATACACAGAAAAACCCTGTCTCAATTAAAAAGAAAGAAATCTAAAAAACATGTGACAAATATCTCAAGAAATGGGGTCTTGGACACTTGCAAAGATGAATTCACATCTTCAAAGAGCAAAAATCTCTTCTAGAGACACAAAGTAACTTCACGATGGGATTATAGCTGGCCTGTGAACTCAGGACTACTCAGTCACCTCTGTAAACTGACCAGGTGGCAGGCAAATACTGGCCTGCCCTGCTGCTAGGGAGTGTAGCTGTCTCTGAAATGCTCTGTGCCCCTTAAGTTAGCTTCAGTGTGAGCATTCTGAATGTTAACTATCCGTGCTCGGGTTTTAAAAGTTTTGTTGTGTACGTATCACCTATGTATCCTATATGCTTGTGTTTGAGATAGGGTCTGGTATTAAACTCACTATGTAGCCCAGGCTGGCCTCAAAGGAGTGGCAATCCTTCTGCCTCTGCTTCCTGAGTGCTGACATTACAGGCACCTGCTGGAGGTCTGTCTATTTATCCATCTATCTATCTAGTAAGAAATACATTCTTATAAAAGATGAACAATGGAAAAAAAAAATCTCATCCCATTTTTCATAGCCTCCTACTTCCCTTCCCAGAGCTACAATTACTTCTTGCAAAATGCCCCATTTACAATATTGCAAGCCTAGTACGTGTTCTCTAATGAGCATGAAAGGCTGATGAGTACTTCCATAGCCAATCAGAAATGTGCTCTTAAAACGGGTTACCTACCGAGTCAAGTTCTTAGGCGCTGGGTCATGCTCTCCTGGGGCCTGCAAGCTCAGGGTCTTCCCTCTTCCGTTCCCTAGCGCCCTGTAATTGCTACAACACTGGCTGCGCAGAGAATACTACCTCCCTTTATGAACTGGTTATTCCAAATGTATCCACCAGACCTCCACTCTTCAATATCTTTAGAATTACAAGCTTCCGCCTTCTCTGAAAGTACATCAGTACTATATCTGTAACCCTTGTGCCTAATAGAGAGGGGGCAGTCAACAATGCCTTTGAGAAACCAAGATAAGCTTATGGAGAAACACACACTTGCACACACACACACACACACACACACACACACACACACAGGCCCACGCGCACACAAAGGGCTATTCATTTGCAGTGGATCAGAGACTCAGTTGCCTATGATGTTAGGTTACTCACAGTTAATCGCACCACAGAGCTGAGATAAAAGCATCTCCTGAAGAGGTTGTAACAAAGAACAAATATAAGTGAAAGGGTGATGTAAAACTCAGAGGCCAGGAAAAGTTCAGTAAGTACATAGTGAGCAACACTGAAATTTTAGGTCATAAGGTAAAATTGTTCTGAAAGTCTGGTTCTCTATGTACTTTGATAAAGATAAACACAAAGTAGAAGAAAATAATAAGGTTTTTTTTGGAATTTCATCACAACAAACAAACTGTTCTTTCATTATTATTTTCCATGTACTTGAGCAAATAGGATATAGACAATTTAACCCTAAATCTATTTTTAGTAGCATGGGCCTTCAACTGACAAAAGATTAGAATGGAGTGACACAAAAACACTTCACTCAAGAGTAATCAGAACAAAGACGATGTGCAAATAAATTGAAAATCAACAAAGAGCCAAAGGCAAAAGCAGCCCTCGCAGCCACCAGTACATTTGGTGATGGCTTCTCTTCCATTCACTGGAAACAAACATGACACCAGTCACCAGCAAATCATTATTTTCCATCTCAAATGTTTAAATTATTCCCACCCACCCACCCCAAGAAATTACATAGAAATATATGTGTTTTAAAACAACTAAACAGTTTGGGTAGATGTTATTTATTTTCTAGTCCCTTAAAATGGGTGGAAAAAAAAAAAAAAAAAACAGCAAATCCCTAAACTCAGAAATGCCAGGACAGAAGCTAAGCTAAGCCTAAACTTTCAAAAACAGTATCATAACACAGCCGACTCCCTCCGTGGTGGACACTGATTTTCACTCTTCTTACGGGCTTTTTGCCTTTAAGCTTAAAAACCTTTCAACTTGCAATTTTCTCTGAAAATTATCTTTAGAAATCAGTTCTTTTCCAGTCATCATTTCTTTTATGAACATCCTCTTCAAATCAAAGTGGACACCTCATAAAATACGCTTTTTATGTTTTTGGTTTTCTGAGACAAGGTCTCATGTCATCCAGGCTGATCTTGAATCCCCTGTGCAGCTGAGGATGACTTTTAACTCCTGATTCTCCTATCCCTGCCTCCCCAGGATTGCAGGCAACACACATGCCACCACACCCTGAGTCATAATCAATTGTTTTAAATATTTGTTTATTATTTATACAGTGTTCTGCCTACATGTGTGCCTGCACGCCAGAAGAAGGCACAAGATCTCACTATAGATGGTTATGAGCCACCATCTGCTTGCTGGGAATTGAACTCAGGACCTTTGGAAGAGCAGCCAGTGCTCTTAACCTCTGAGCCATCCCTCCAGCCCCATGATCAATGTTTTATTTCAAAAAAAAGCACCTGACCCGAACAGTTCTAGGACAGCCAAGACTACACAGAGAAACCCTGTCTCAAGAAACAAAAACAAACAAAAAAAGCACCTGAATATCTTTAAGATTTCCTATTTGTGAAGCAAGAGCCATTTTTTTTTTTTTTCCCAATCCTTTAGGGACTAACTATATGGCTCTACCATCAAGTATGGCTTCACATCTAACACAAGCCTCATGTACTTTTTCAGGTATGTGTCAATAGAAAAAGAGCCCACAGGTCAATGGCACAGATAACCTTTGTTCCAGCAACAGCAACAAAAGAAGCATAAGCAAGACCGACTGTGTTGGAAACAAGAGTGGTGAGTCGCAGAGACAATAAGTGATAGTGTATGATTATGAAATGGAAACCAAATCAGACAAAGACACTGTTCAACCACGACAGGTGCCAACGTGTAAAAACTGAATGCAGACGCTCAGGGAGTTTCCTTAGAAAGGATTCTTAAACGTAATTACAATTTATTAGACTGTCTAACAAATATGGGATTAGTTATGAAGCACTGTGCTTTCTGCAGCCTGTATGATGACTGTAAAAGGTTCCTGGGAAGATGAGAGAGGCTTGCTAAGACATACAATTCCTAACTAGTGTAAATTAGTAAATTTTATTAAAACCTAATGAACACTTAAGACTGGTTTGCTGTCTTGTTAGGAAGTTTTATCATCCTTTGGGTTTACACTGCCACAGAAGCAAATGGGCAGAAGTGCTTCGGTTAAGGTCCCTCTGGGCAATTGTGTCACAAAAGCCCACTGGGTGAGGTCACCTCCCCCACCTTCTAGCTAGTTCTACTCTGAAATTTTACAGGGATTTCAATGTTGTTTCTCAGGATGGCATGATATAAATGGCAGCAGACAAGAACAATGTTTAAAAAAAAAACAAAGGCTGTACATAAGAACTTATGTTTATTGCAAACAAACAAACAAAAAGAGAGAGCGAGGGAAAGAGAGGATGGTGAGGAGCGGAACATATAAGGTTAAGAATTGAAAAGCGTCTTACATTCTGCCCTAATGGCAGCATAATTAATAGCAACAAATGGCCGTCTTGCTGCCTGCCGCAGCCGCAGGGTGTTTTTGCAGACCTGACGAGCAATTTTTGTGAAATATGTAGTATGAAGGAAGAAAGCTTGGCGAGTCTTCACTGCAGACTTTGGGCTTCCAGTGTTCCGGACCGGCATGCCCTGCATGGCCTGTCGGGACAGGTGGCTTCTCACGCGTGGGTCCTGCAATTTCGGAAAACAACAGAATTCACAGAGGAGAACTGGCCAAAGCGCACGGCCGCTCGGAAGCATCTGTAACTCAGGGACCTGCCCCCTGAAGGAAAGGCAGTGCACGCTTTTGGTAAGAAGGTTGGAATGCTGCAGGGCAGGGATGGAATTCAACCCAGATCATATGCACCATCGGTAGGAAGCTGTCAGAGCGGCCCTGCCGGTGGTTAATTTATTGTGAGGAGTATTGAGATACCATCAGCTCTGACAGAAACTTGTGTCCCTTTGGTAGACGCTGGACCTTGACATACTCAGTCTATGCAGATTTTCCAAGGTCATCATTCAACTACTGTTCACTGGGCCCTTCTTGTCCCTCCACAATAGCCAAGGAGAGAAAATGTTTAATTCGTGTTTGTTATTTTCTGTAATAAAATAGTGTCTAAAGGTTACAAATTGTTTTTAAAAACAAGACTATTTGTAAGCTCTCTACTCAGGGAAATACCTCCCACACACATTATTCTTTTTTCTGAATAATCTCAAAAGACCAATATTTTGAGTATCTGAAAACTCTGCCTTGTCCCAGCTTCCATGTCCACACCCACTATGAGTACACAGCGCTATGTTTAATGGTAAAACCCAGCTTTGTTCATTTGTAAGTTGTAGTGTGTGGTGTTCCTGTTTCCAAGGAAGAAGCTGTAACTGAGAAAGGAGGTAGTGTCAGCCTGCAGCTCTGCTCTCATACCTCTGCAGTGGGGCTGGGAGACTTCTCCTCATCTGACTGGGTGGGCATTTTCAGACCTCCGTATTTCTTCCAGTACAGCCAGCAGGTCGCACACAGTCTGCACTGCATATTAGGTGGGCCCCAGGAATACCACTGGTGAGACTGTGTGGCTAAGGACAGAGGGAGAGGGATGCTGTGAAATCCATGATCTCAAATATAACCACCCCTCAGAGACAGCCCGAGGCCACAGCTGGTATACTGTTATCTTCTCTCCCAAGGTTGCAGGCCACCCAGGAAAGTACAGCACATACATGCATTTTTCAGTACTCTGAATACATTGTCTCTGCAACACATCAAGTGTTTGTCATGTCTATTAACAGAAGCCGCTGGAGGACAAATCTTGATTTATGCCTCTGGCTGCTGAGATTTTGTTGTTAATTAAAAGTGATTTCATTATGTACATGTTTAGAACTAAGTCTTCCGAAGGATAGTATTATTATTAAGTGCTGGGAACAAGCAAAAGAAACTTGTTCTAAGCACTACGATTTCATTTTCATTTCCATTTCCATTTCATCATAGGGAGAAACTAAGTTCAAGGGCCCAGGCCCTAGGGGAACTGGGGACTTCCCAATAGCTGAACAGCTTCTGCTGTAAGGAGACAGTTGTCTGGGTCCAGCCTTCTCAGGGACAACTTGTAAGGAGACAGTTGCCCGAGTCCAGCCATTTCAAGCACAACTTCTCCATCTTGCTGGCAGGGTCAAACAAAGTTCATGTTCCCAGGCCCAGGAACCTACTCCTATCCTGATTGATGGAAACGCCCTTGCTCAACCCCTTACATCAAAATATGATTGGACAATGCTACAGCCCACCCAGCACTCCCCCTTGCTTTATGGTTTCATCCTTTAAATATGCTGTACAACATGGCTTCAGGGTGGCAGCTCAGCTCCTGAGTCTGTTCTGCGGCCCTGATCGATCAGTGGTGGCTTGATTACAATAAATTTTTGTCATCTGTACTGACCCGGCACTTAGCTTATGTTGGATTTAAGTGGACCCCACAACATTAAGTTGCTTGGCAGGGTTTTAAACCTGAACTGAACGGTTCAAGAGCTCTTACAAGGATTGCTAAGGTACTCAAGAGGTGACTCGCTGATAAGACAGGAGCCAAATAAAACCAGAAATCTGTCTGTTGTTCCTTTACTCAGCAAACAAAACTTTACTTTAGAATTTCTTCTAAACTCAGGTTTAGAATTTCTTCTAAACTCTGAAGACTGTAAATCCCTATCACGAACACGAGTAGCTAATATGGCATCATGCTCAGTAAGGCCTAATCCCAGCTGATTTATGGCTTCACAGCCTGTGTCAGGTTCCACAGCGTTCACTGCTGTCCTACAACAAAAAGCTTCCTGAGGCTGAGTCAAAGAGAGTTGGAAACAGTGGCAGCGAACAGTTAAAAACGCAGGCAGAGGCTATTACAGGAAGTCCATGAGCAGTCCTCCCTTGCCTGTAGGCTACTACCACCTGGGCAAACCAGGCACGGGGAGCTGCCTGACAACCTCACAAGCCAGCATGCAAAGGGTGAAATCAGAGATGGAGGACAGCTTGGTGCTAGAAGCTGGCGTGGGCATGGAAAGACCCAAGGTCCACTCTTCCACATTCATCAAGTACCACCCTTGGAAGACTCCTTTCAAAGAGAGGCCCGACCTCTCCTCTTTTAACTTAAACAATAAAGCTGACCTTTTAAGACAGATTTTGTTAAAATGTTTTAATTGCTTGCATGTGTGTATGAATGCAAGTGCCTCAGAAGGCCAAAGGTGTTGGATCTCCTGAAGCTAAAGTTATAGTTGGCTGTGAGCCAGCTAATGTGAGTATCAGGAACCAAACTCGGGTCCTCTGCAATGCCAGTGTGAGCTCTTTCACAGGACTTTGGCCTGCATGGCCTGGCAGGCCTGTCCTTCTCCCTCATTCCCTCTGCCTTGCTAAAACCCAGTAGATCACAAGCTAGCCACCAAGGTCTAGTCCTTCATTTGGACACTTCCTCTTCCTGAGGCTGACTACAAAGTCCAGCTATCAAAGTATTGAAGTCCACCAATCAAAAGCCCTCCTTGATTCATGTAATTAATGTGCCCAATTAAAATTAAACACCTTATCCTAACACAGGGTTTCCCCCTGTGCCTTTATAAACTGCCTTTTTCCTGTGTGCCATGTCTTTTTCCTTTCTGTCCAGAGGCAGTCCTTTGTCCCCCTCCAGAACCAGTATCCCTCTCTCTGTTCCCTTCCCCTTCTCTCTTGTCCTCTATCTCCAGTGTTTGTCTCTTATTCCCTGCTCTCTGTCTGTCTGGGGCAAATAAATCTCCTTTGTGGGGAGAACTTGGTCTCAGGTCCTGGCGATACTTTTTTCTACGGTCTTTACCCCTGAGGCAGCTCTCTAGCCCACAAGTTGACTTTGTTTAAACACAAATAAGAACACCAAGGACTCATGCACACACATCCATCCACCCACATGATCCAAACTCGAGAGAGAAAGCAGAGGCAGGGGGATGGTGAGTTAGAAGCCAGCCTGGGTTTCTTGAGAAACCCGGACTCAAAAACCCAACCCCAAGCAACAACAGAATGAGGGCTTCTGCTGCTGTTTGAGATTTTTAAATAAACATATATGGTGGCAACTGCTGACCAGGTCATCTAAGCAGCCCATATAACAAAAGCACACAGTAGAGCCCTGCAAGCCGAGACGCACACAGCAAGGCTTGAGGCCAAAGGCAAATATCATAACATGGCATTTCCCCTCCGGGTGCCCTGGGGGCCTGAAGCCTATAAGCACTGGTTTATCCACACATCTGCCTCTCCTCCAGAAGTATCAGATACATTTAATTTGTCAGAGGACATTGAAGGACTCCAAAGGGGGATTTTGTATGTATCACAGTACTGTGGTTTGGAAAAAGCTAAAATAACTGCACACAGTTAAAAGACAAAACTGCCAGCAAACACAGAGCCCACAGAGGAAACGCACACCCGCCTTGGTGCAAGAGTACTCAGCGAATGCCCCCTTGCGCCTAGCTGGAGGCTGGGGCGGCACCCACTCACTCTAAGGAGACACTGCCCAGCCTCTGAGCTGTAGTGGTATGCTTCTATGCTTCTCACCAACCAGCCCCACAGTGCAGGACAGCATACCTCAGGCGCTGCTCCGCCTGAGCAAACTTACCATAGCAGCTCTCACAGGCTCGTCCAAGGAGGGCGCTCTGGGGCTGGAACTGGGTCCCCACAGCTCCATTCACAGTGCCAGACTTGCCATTGCTGCTGGATATTTGGTTGGGATTTGGTTTGCTGCTTTCAATGAAATGTAAAGTGAAATGATAAAAAAATAATAATAATTTTTAGGACAAGGCAAAAAGCTGGCACCTCCTTACTAATTTACCTTCCCTAAAACATGAACAATTAATATATTTAGTGAAGAAGAAACAGAGTGGCAAAAGAAGGGTGCTAAGATGATCCCAAGTATGGGGCCAGTAGAAGAGAGCAAATGAGAATGAAGTATAATGACAGGTATGTACAAAGATGCTGTGATGAACCCAGGACTTTGTATACAATAACAACAAACCTTAAGGAAACACACACCCACACACAAAAGACAGAAATACATTGGCACACATGATTCCAGGAACTTAAACAAGTGGGTATATCCAGTAGAATGATGAGAAGAAATAAATAAAATGAAATAAAACCAAGGCACTCATTTTTACAAAGTAAAGTTATAAAACTGCCAGTGTCTTGTGCCAGGCACTCTAAGGCAGATGTGTGTCTCCTGTGTTCACAGCACTGCGATTTCTTCAGAGCACACTATTCTTTTTAAAGATAGACGTCACTAGACTTTATCCTTATCATCATATATTTTCCTGAGAAAATAATGTCTTTGATTGAATACTAAGCTAAAGGCAGTGCTGTGTGACTGGGAAAGCCCTGGCACTGCTCCTGGGTGGCGGTGACGCTGTGGCCTCTGCATTGCTCCAGGGGGATGGGCTGAAGCCAAGATGCAGCTGGGCTCTGCAGAGCCACCCTCCACACCCACAGGGGAGGGCCTCTAACCTAGGCTCACCATAAAAATTCACATTATGTCAGAAGTTTTTGAGGCAGATTAGCATTTAAGATGAGAAAACCTTTGAGTTTGTGTTTTAGATTTTTTTTCCTTCTGTTTAAGAAAACACTTTTAGGAGAAAAAAGAAGACATAGGTCAGAAGGCTAAATGCAAATTTATCATAAACACTGATAAGACTAAATGCAAACCTGTCAGTCAGCACAGCCATAGTTCTTTGAGACATATAGCCAGGCGTATCATGGCAATTGCTGTGTAAACACAGCTCACAGAAAGCTAACTCCCCGCTTAGAGCCCCAGGACACTGCACAACTGCATGCACAGCACACATCACTTAGAAAATACAGGCTCCCTAAGTAGACACAGAGATCTGTCCCAGAAGAGCCTCCTTCTAGGGGACTTTTCATCTGTTACATAATGAGACATCGCCTCATAGATAGATGATAGATAGATAGATAGATAGATAGATAGATAGATAGATAGATAGATAGATAGATGATCCGTGTTTTGTTTGTTTTGCTTTTTAGAACAAAAAAAAAAAAAAAAAAAAGAAAGAAAGAAAAGAAGGGGGCCACACATGGTGGCGCACGCCTTAAATCCCAGCACTCCCCTGGAGGCAGAGGCAGGCAGATCTCTGTGAGATCCAGGATAGCCAGGGCTATGTAGGGCGAGGGTGTGTCTCAAAAAGAAAACTAAAGAAAAAAAGTGGTTCAGAGAAACTAAGGTTCCCAGAGTGAATCATTTCCAATCGAAAAGAAATCTGTAGCAGTTAAAATGATGTTCCCACCTATTGAAGTCAAGCCAAAAGCTTCCCAGAAATAGGGAAAGTAGGTATTTAAACTCAGTGCTAAATATTTGAGCCTAAGAAGAGCCAATGTGGGGTTGGAGCAATGGCTCAGTGGTTAAGCGCACTTGCTGTTCTAGCAGAGGACCTGGGTTTGATTCCCAGCACCCACACAGTAGCTCACAACCATTCCTAACTCCAATTCCAGGAGATCTGATGCCCTCTTCTGACCTCCCTGAGCAATAGGCATGCACATAGAAGTAAGCAAAACACATAAAATTTATATATACTCTAAAAGAAAAGAGCCAATGCCATGAACAGTTGTGGTGACTTGAAAGGAAGGACAGAGACAACAAATACATCTCTGGATGGGCCCAGAACCCTGCCTGACTGAATAAGCCACTGTTTAAAACCACAGTGACGACACACCTGAGAACCACTGAGGATATCCACCTAAAGATTCAATTGTGGGCCCCAAGAAATGCTTTTGGAGACCTTGCGTGGGAATGTCCTTCCTCTAATCAGCCCTGCCCTCATCTGTGCTCCACACTCCCACCATCTCTGGCCCTAGAGCATTACATACATGTCATTCTCCTCTCTGAACCCTCCTCAAATTACTATTTACACATAGTAAATAGTTATGAATGGTTGTGAGCCACTGTGTGGGTGCTGCAAATCAAACTCAGGTCCTCTGCAAGAACAGTGAGTGCTCTTAACCACTGAGCACTGGCCCTTCTTAGGCTCATATATTTATTTATCTTTTCCCATTTGATAGTGTCTCCCTCTGCTGTTAGCCTGACTCTGCCACTCCACTACATCACAGTGACTTCCATATTGCTGAGTTCCTGGTTACACCCCACCAGCATCTAATAATGCTCATCCCCTCCTTTTTAAAACACATCAGAGCCCTCTCAGCTCCCGTGGCTCCCTGGGTCATCTGTCTGCAGCTAACATACACAGTATGCTCTATAAACACTGAGTTCATTCAGGGTCTACTGCAAGGCGCCTTTCTGGTTGCTCTCCCTCACAGATCTAATCCATGATTTGAAGTGGAATTACTGTGTGCTGTGAGGTTCACAATTGTCTCTAGCCTAGACCTTTCCCCTGAGTATGTCCAGTATATACTGCACACAAGTCCACTATCCCTGTTTTGATAGAACAAACTAAAAATGTCCTAACCTAATATTATGCTACCATTTCTGGCAGGGTAATCCACCTAACTGTGGACTCAACCTTGACAATCAAAGTCAGTCACTGCCTAATGTAGCATCGTCCTCAGAGCTCTTTCTAAGTCAAGATGGTCTCTCTCTTCCTGAGCACCCATGACAAGTATCCCCATATATGCCCTACTCCTTCCTGGATCCATGGTCCAAATGCAACCATGGTCGCTGGAGAAATGGCTCAGCGGTTAAGAGCACTGTCTGCTCTTCCACAGGTTCAGAGTTCAACTCCCAGCAACCACATAGTGCCTCACAACCATCTATACTGGGGTCTGATGCCCTCCTCAGGCATGCAGGTGTACATGCAGATAGAGCACTCATAAAATAAATCAATAATAAAATCTTTAAAAAAAAATTGCAACCATGACAAGTCTTTAAAATTCTTCCATTCTTTGTCTTGGGCATCCCATACTGCAACTCCCCAGCCTCTGTGGCTGGCTGTCTACTCTTTTCACACCAGTCACACCATCTTTTCTGGGCTTGGCCCTGTCTCAACTCACGTGGTTCAGCACAACCGCCTGCAGCTGAGTGCCTCACACTTCCTCAGAAACTCCTCTGGGGGTACTGCACAGAACAAAATGCTCACCCCACCCCCACGAAAAAGCTATCTTCTTGGTCATTGTTCTCAGGAGAGCGGCATGTCTTCTTAACCTTCTACTCCCACTACAAACACTAGGCTTTGACTGTAGGAGACAGCCAGGCTCGAAGCATGACAGAAACGAAGAATTCTTAATCTATTAAAAAACAACAACACTCTATTTCAGTATTAACTTGGAAATTCACTGAGGGACTCAGATTTACATATGACTCTATAAGTCAGCTTATTTTTAAACAACGCCAAGGAGACACATTTTTTTCATGAGTATGATTAGAAATTGTTTGATCTCCAAGGATCACTTAAATAAAGATGTAGAAAACTTTGCTTGTAAAGGGCTCGGTAGTAAAGAAGTTTAGGTTTGTGGGTAACAGAGCCACAACCACTAAATTCCGCGCTTGCAGGATAAAAGCAGGCTTGGACAATATATAACAAATAGGCCCATGTTCCAATGAGACTTATTTACAGAAACAGTTGGCGAGTGAGATTTTATCCAGACTACTACTGTGTGAATCCATGCCACTGCGTGCTGCTGGATAAGATTGGTCACTGGGCCACTGGGTCGCAACAGCCAAACGTTCTCTCTGGAATATCAGCACTGTGGCACTGGGAAGGCTGTTTCCCCCCGAGAAGCTCAAGTCACAACCAGTGTTTTCCTTGTGGGATCACACATTCTGAATTCACAGAGTAAATATATAATTTTAAAAGGTCTCACAACAACACTGCAGAAGAAATAGAATTACGGGATATGTAAATTACAGTTTTTAAAAACTAAACCAAATCAAGGCATAGTGGCACACACCTTTAACCCCAGCACTCAGGAGGCAGAACCAGCCAGATCTCCGAGTTTGAGGCCAGCCTGGTCTACATAATGAGTTCCAGGACAGCCACAGCTATATAGTGAGACCCTGTCTCAAAAACAAAACAAAACAAAAAACTAAATCAAACCAAACACACACACACACACACACACACACACACACACCAAGAAACAAGTAAGCCAGTTATATGCCTTGAGGTAAAGTTGTCCATGAAGCCTCCTGTATGTAAAAACATCTATTATAAAATATATCCAAATCCAGCAAACAAAAATTTATATACAATGGCTGTGTTTAGCTCAAAGAACCTGAAAAATCTTGGGGCTGTAGAGAAAAAGTTGTAGATTTGAGGACCCAGACCTAAGACCTCAATGACAGAAGAGTGAGATGCACTTAAAACATATAGAATGGAAGGAAACTGACGTCTGCTCTTACATGACAATGACCTGTAAACCCAAAGGTTTACATGAGAGAATGCTAGACATAGGACACACCCCAAACCTACTTCTCATGTACAAAGCACATCCAAGAAAACAATGTGAAACCATCACATCACACAGACAACACGCCTTCAAGGGATGACGCACAGTAACGACACCCATGCTGCCATGCAGAGGTCTCAGAAAATGCTGGCTCTATGAAACACAGTTGCTCCCAGTAAGGCAGTTACCTTCTGTCACTGGGGAATGTGACACCTGCCCTGTGGCTTAATACAAGAACAAGCAGCTGGGCATTCACCTGGTACCCTCATGTTGTTCTACTCAGGTTCCTCTCACCCTCTCCCTTTGCTTTCCAAAGTCATCATAGTGGGCCAACAGAAAACAACTTTTGGGCTTTGAGGACAAAAACCAGGTAGGACACACAAAGACATTCAGGTTTGTCACCATGAACAAATGACACGTTTGGAATGACAGATTTAAAGCAGAAAGAAGCTCTCAAAAGACATCAGCTACTTACTAAGTTGGGATATAAACTTGCTTCAGCTTGCTCTCGGCTTCTGCTGCTTTTAGGCGTTTCTAATTCAAAAAATGGACAAAACAGTTCACATGAAATGCATACTAATTATTTACATCTCATTGCCTCAGAAACACAAGAAGATAAACGATACAGCACCATTCGTTATCTTAAGAGTTTTTTCCACAGACACATTCTAAAGCTCCAATAACTTTTAAGAAAGCCATTACCTTCTGGACTACAGAACTATAAGCACATATAAAATATTTCAAATAAAAATGCTTCAAGTTAAAGCAATGAAAAACTTCACTTCCCAATACATTTTTCCCCCCTTTTCCAGACAGGGTTTCTCTGTGTAGCCCTGACGGTCCTTAAACTCACTGAGATCCACCTGTCTCTGCCTCCTGAGAGCTGGGAATAAAGGTGTATGTTACCATAGTCTGGCATTTTCTCAATCTTCTATGAGAAAACTAAAAAGGCCTTTTCTGGGATGTGTGTGTGTGTGTGTGCGTGTGTGTGTGCATGCATACATGTGTGATTGTACCTGGGCCTTCATACAAGCTAAGCACATCCGCTACCACTGAGCTTCACTTCTAGCCCTCAGAGAACAGTGACAATAACCATTCTTATTTTTGCAAATTTAGTTTCCTACTTTAGTTCTTGTCTTTCTGGAATGAGTATGTGCACACACACTGCCCGACCCTTTTGTGTGTGTACACACACTCAACCTTTGCTTTTAGAAAAAAAAAATTAGAGATAGTTTCTAAACTTCATGCAGAGGAAGTGACTGCAGCTCCCTCTAATGATGGGCCCTATGCAGTGACTATTGGCCAGTCAGTTCCCAGCAGGGTTTCGCTATGGAGCTGAGACTGGCCTGGAACTCACTATGTGTTGCCCAGCCTCACACTCCCAAGTGCAGGAGCCACAGGTGTGGCCTGCACCTGGCTCTGTGGTAACTTTAAACCTTGGCTGAACTCACTCAACACTGCACTGAAGTCAACGAGGAGCCAAATGCAGGGGGAAAGGGAGAAAGGCGAAGCCATCATTAGATCTAGACCCTGATCACCACAAAAATGAAAGCAAATAGTGAGGGGGAACAAGGCAGTCACTGTGCCCGGAGGGACTACAAACCCACCTCCAGTGTCCAACTGGATGAAAACAAACTATTCAAGGACAACCTGGAACTTAGAATGGAGTCAACATTTTTGGAAAATCATCTTCTAAACACAGATAACCGTCTTTAGGGCCTTGTCTGGGCCTTCTCTGGGGACACTTCTTAACTTGAACAGCACAGGTTTCCAGGCTGCACGGCCTTCATTTCTACCACAGTTGTTTAAAATATTCACTTTCTGAATTACATATGGTGTTGACACTGGAAATTGTTCAACACCTTGTAGATTTCTATTCACTATTCATGACCACGGCAACGCCTGGCACTTGAGAGTGATCCTTAAAATGCATTTGTGTGGCATCCAGTTCTTGCCACTGTATAGCTTGCACATTTAGGCAAATGCCGTCTGCTTTTAATCTTTCCCTTGCTCTGACATGTGACTATAAGAATCATTACAGAAATATGCCTTTCTCCAAAGGTAGATTTTTCAAAATAAGTAACAAACAGCTACATGAATTTAGGACATTTGTGAAGAACTCAAAAGTTAAATGACTTATGCATGACTTTAGAGAAGAAAGCATCAAACTACAAAGACTAAATGCCCAGGCTTGGTGGCAAACACCTGTGATGCTAGCACTCTAGAGGCTGAATCAAGAGGACCTCAAGCTTAGGGACAGCCTAAGCTAGCCAGTGAGGCCCTGTCTCAAAATATCAATGAAGGCATTATGATTAAGGTCAAAGCTCAGGGGAGGGCAGAGCGTGTAGCCTAGTGGCAGGGTGCCCACCTATCACACACAAGGCTCAAAGTGTGCACCCTAGCATGGGGACAGGGGACCCAAATGGAGTTGGGGGCTACAGCTTATAGAACAGGTCCACAAAATGTCATGTAGGAGGTATTAGAAAAGCATATCAGTATCTGAATTTATAAGGCTGATGGCCTCAAGGTTCACATTTCAATCATAATAATATATCGTCCAGGTGGTTCACTGCAGTTCTGTATTTCACTTTTTGCAAGAGACACAATGCCTCTCTAGCCACATCATAAAGATGAATGCTGAAAACAGTGAACTATTAAGATGAAAATATTAAAAGTAATAAAACATGAAATCGCAGGACTTAAAGCAGTCTAGGAAAGATCAAACAGGTTCATTGCTAACAGACATTGCTTACAAACACTGACACAGACAGAAAGCTCACTACAACTCGATGTGCTGGTGGCTGAAAGTTACCTGCTGCACGTATCTGTCAGTAGTTTTCCACATGTAATAATATTCAATGATGCTGGTCAAGGATTTCCATGGGAGCTGAAAAATATTTAAGAAGATAATGAAAACAATGTATGGCATAAAGTATTTTCCTTCAAAACCACTCCATTGAAATGATGTAGCAAGGATCTACATGTTAAGACTTGTTCTAGAAAAAAAAATCTTTTGAAAAAAAAAAATTAATTCTTAGCAAATGGTATTGAGTTATATTTAGTAAGAGATCCAATCGAATGCATGTATTCCATTTCTCATCAATCTGATTAAAAATTATAAACATCATCACTGGGAGTATTTCCTGACTAACTCAGGAAAAGTTCTTAGCCCTGTGAAGCAATGACAGGAGGAATTGAAGCATAATTAATTAACCAATTAATGTAGGCCATTTGCATGCTAGGCACCTGCTCTACCATGACCTATATCATCAGCGGTGCTACACAATTTCAGAAACATTATTTAAATAGTCTGAGGCTGAGTTACTCTCACTTCCAAAGACACCATTGCACTGGATGTCTTTTGGTATCTGCCATTATATTTCTCAACCCTTTCCTGACAACTCTTATTTGGTTATTATAAATAAAACAACAGGAGGCTACAGAGATGGCTAAGCAGGTAAGAGCACTTGAGTGCTGTTCCAGAGGACCTGAGTTTAATTCCCAAAACCCACACGGTGGCTCACAACCATCTGTAATGGGACCTGAATCTCTCTTCTGATGTTCATGAAAACAGAGCACCCATACATAAAATACATACATAAATGGAAACAGATGCAGAGACCCACACTCAAACAATAGGCTGAGCTCTGGCAGTTCTGTGGAAGAGTGGGAGGAAGGATAGTGGGAGCCAGAGGGGTCAAGGACACCACAAGATCTACAGAGTCAACTAACCTGGGCCCATGGGGACTCACAGAGACTGAACCACCAACCAAAGAGCACGCGTGGGCTGGACCTAGACCCCCTACACACGTGTAGAAGATGTGCAGCCTGGTCATCATGTGGGTCCCCTAATAATGGGACCGGGGGCTGTCTCTGACTGTTGCTTCCCTTTGAATCCCTTCCCCCTAGCCAGGCTGCCTTGTCAGGCCTCAGTGGGAGAGTCCTGCTGTGACTTGAGGTGCCAGGGTGGGTTGATGCCTCTTGCCAGCCTTCCCTTCTCTGAGAAAAAAGAGGAGGGGGAAGTGGAGGGAGGGGAACATGAAGGTGACGTGAGGAGGAGAGGAGGGAGGGGCTATGAGTAGGCTGTAAGGAGATTAAATTAATAAATAGATTAAAAAATAATTGAGAAAAACTAAATTAAAGTTCAACCTTTTAGAACTAAACAAAATAAACAACAGGCTACATCTTTGAATAAAAAAAAGAGATAGCTAAGTGTGTTTCCTTTTTTAAAAAGTAAGCTTGCTTTTGCTATTTTCACAAAAATTAAGTAAAAATCCTACTCATGAGACCTAGAGCAAACAATACACTTATAGCCCTGTGCAGATGAGGTTTTATTATCAAGACAACTGAGAGTGGAGGTCTCCAGGATGGCAGGGAGGGCCAACAGGACCAGCTTGAGCTGTGGCCCTCCAACTCCCAGCACCCCTTCTGGGGTGGCCAGTTAACACTGGGCTCCCTGGATGCCTTGCCATTGTGGGGCTTCGTGGGACCCTCCTGACAACACCCACACCATCGTATTACCTCCCCCAGTTACTTACTTACCTATTCTAAGAAATAGCAAGCATTTTAGAGAAAGGCAATAATTTAAGCTGATTCAGGTGGTGATTTAAACAATAGTTACAAATGTGATTTCTTTGCAGGACCATGGCATGGCCACTAGCTCTGAACTATAGCTAAAACAAATAGCTATTTGGGATTTTTATTTTAAAACTCAATGCATTTATCTAATGAAATCATGTGTTTGAAATTCCATGAAAGATGCCTTCAGCAGGGCCTCACAGGTCAGCCATGGTGTGGTTTCTAAGCATGCTAAGAGTCAAGCTTAGTGGCTTCTTTCCTTGGAAAACAAGGATCTGACAGGCATTTATCTGGAAACCCGAGAGAAGGAAGCCAAGTGGCCATGCAAGCCAACCATCACACACTGCATTTCATCTGGTACACAAGTCCACACAGGCCATGCCCAGCACCAGCTCCTTCCAAACCAGAAAAAAGGAGTCTGGAGAGCTAGCACCGCTGCTCTTCCAGAGGGCTCTGGTTCAGTCCCCAGCGCCCACGTGGTAGTGTACAGCTCCTGTATTTCTAGTCCTGGGGGATCCAATGTCCTCTTCTGGTGTCTATGGGAACCAGGCATGCATGTGGCACACAGACATGCATGGAGACCAAACACCCATACACACAGAATAAAAATAAATAATAAAAAGAAAATAATTCCAAGTATTGTGGTTCAGATCACCTCTTTTTCATCATAGCTCCAAACAGTACAATTGGCTAAATAGGCAACAGAGCAAATACAGATGAATTGGCTTAGTCATGCATGCTCATAGCCTGGAGGATGTGGGAGCTGCACCTGAAAATGGAGTAGCCAATGAAGCTATGGAAATGAAACTCAGCGTCATCAAAAGAATAAGGAGTCTCCTGGAAATCACATAAAGTTCCCATAGGTGGGTATGATGGGCTTGTTGGAATAACCTTGCATGCTAGCCAGGCAGTAAAACCCATTGGGTGAGGATTGGGATGAGGTAGGGGTGCTAGGAGAGCTAGCCAGGGAGGAAGCCTTTCCTGATGGGTGAGGAAAATGTCTACCAAAAGCAGGGAGCTCAGATCTTTGAGGTCCCATGAGGCACAGAGCTGCTAAGATGGCAAACATGTACACCAGCACACTGATGAAAGCTTAGCAGTAAGCCCCAAACCCGGGACAGGCAAATGGAGTCAGCACCCCAGACCTAACCCCACTCCCACCCCAAAAACCTAAACAGACCAGACATGTTTTATTTATCATTTCAGCATATAAACACTATGAAACTTAGTCTGTTAGTGTTTGTCCAAGCTAACTCTGCATCTAATAAAACACACACACACAAACTAGACAATAAATGACTCACTGTCAAGGATTTAAGCAATCAGACCTCAGCCCGAAACTAGTCCCAAATGCTAAAAACTCATGTGGCTGCGGAGTATGGGAACAACCCAGAACACTGTACAGGCTACACACATGAGAACATCTGTGTACCCCCAGATCAACACTGACGATGAAAAGGGGGACAATATGCATGATTAAGTAGGGAATTTCATCAGAAGAAAAAAGACTAAGAGAGAGTAGGGCTGGCATGTGGATTCTGTGGCCTGCATTCAACAGATGTGAAGTGTGGCCCTGTGGATCCTGAAGCTGTGTGTTAGAATCATAGAATATCTAGCCTGTGGCAGCCACTGGGGCAATGCAGCCATGTCCTGCCAGGCTGGGAGAAACAGGAGCTGTGTGAGGTCTGGGAACTGAGAGTCAGAGATGCGGCAGCCATTTCGGGGGACAGTTTCAAGAATGATGAAGCCAAGTCACAGAGATCAGTTTGGCCGAGCACCCAGTCTTATGTTCCCATGGCTTTAGCCCCAGTGTCCTGGATCTTTGATCCGGAAATGTGCTGTGTCATAGCTCTGCCCTTTAAACTGAATTTTGTAGAATTTTTATACTTGATCTAGAACCTAAGCTTGCAGTTCAGACTGGCACAGACTTGCAGGTCAAAGGAACAGGTTTAAAACATTGCCTTAGTTTTGATCCTCAGCAAGGCGTAGCAATTCACAAAACAACAACCATAAAGGGGCAGAGAAGACATCCCAGTGTACATTTCTAGGCTTTCAGAAACCATATGATTGTTCTTTGGCCACATATATGCAAATCTGTAAGAAAAATCACACTGCAGACATCAAGGTGCTATTCGAAATGAACACCCTATAATGGCAAAAAGGGAGGCCTGCTGGCATGGCTGTAACCATGCTATCTAAGGGCAAGACTCCTGGCAGGAGAGCTAACACACAGAATGTATAAGCACTGAGCTCTGGAGGACAGAAGAACAGCTGTTTCCCTTGAACACCTCTCCTCGAACACTCCATTGTGAGCGCTGCTGATGTGTGGCACTGCTGTTCAGAGAGGGTCTCACACAGCCCAGCAAACAATCAAACAAACCTATTTTTCCAATTAAAACGAAGGATGGCTATTACAGAAGGTAACTTATGAAGATCTCAAACAAAAATTCTTTTTCAAAGAGAATAAATTTAACTAAGAAAAGCAAGACACCTGGGTGGTTGTGCAGTTGTAATGCCAGCTACTCTAAATGCTGAGGCAGAAAGATCTCAAGTTCAAGGTCAGCCTGTGCAATTTGGCAAAACTCTGCAAAAAGGGTGTGAGTGGTTCAGTGATGGAGTACTCCAGAGATGCTAGAAACTTAGGTTTGCTCTCTAGCACTGAAAATTAAAAGTAGGCCTTCCCCAGTGTGCACACATACATACATACATACATACATATACACACATACATACATGAACACACACACCACTCAGACATGTGTTTGGTGTGGTCATCATGTCTCAGGGTGTATACATCACATCACACTGTACAACTTAAATACACAACTTCCAAATGAATCTGAAAAGGAATAAATTCTAGACATCATAAAATTTCAAGTAGAATGCTGCATATCATTACCAGTCAAAGATGGAGAGAACTGGAAAGCAAATCCAGCTCTTCTGTTGGCCAGGTTCACACCTACTTTACAAGTCCACGTCAACAGTTCATAACTAGAGGTAGCTTAAAGGAGTCAGTGCACAACACACATAGACTGCAAGGGATTAGCACAAATGCACAGAACTGTCCACAGTTCTGCTTGGAAATCAGAGTGCAGCAGAGGGCAAATTCCCGAAACCTCAGTGCATTCCAGATCTCAAGACTCCTCACCCTGGGCCGTATTCATAGTGCAAAGTAGGTGTCAGTTTTTCTCCTTTATAAGTGGCTCTTCATTCTAGTTTAAGCAAATAAAGTTACTGTCAAAGCTGGGGGTGTGGTTCAGTGGCAGAACACATGCTCAAGCCCTGACTTCGATCCCAGACACCAACAGAACCTGCACCATAGGCATGCTCACCCTGTAAGAGTACTAAGTAGATAAAGTGGAATTCTAAAACAGTGCTCCCCTCCCAACAATTTCTTCAGTTTTCCACTTACAAAGTCCTGGCGGATGTCATTGAAATCTTTGCCATATTTTTCCAGTGCTTCTTCGAATAAGCTGGCTTCAGAGGCCGACCACTCCTCCATCTCATCTCTGCACAGGACCGGCCCTCCAAGTGGCACTAACACACTGATGGCACTGCTCAGGTCATAGCCGTGTCTGTACAGTGTGTCCATGGCATGAAACTGGAGGAGAGAAACAGGATGGACAGGAAATGTCAAGTGAGCACCTCCAGGCCAGCAAAGAATGGAAACATTGAATGCAGGTACGCTTAATTAACAGTATCCTTATTATTTCTTTTTAAATAACAAAATTAAGCAGCCAGACACTTCCAAATAATTGCTTTAAGAGAATGCTAACTAGACTACTTAAGGTATTTAAAAATATATCCATCTGGAACAACCATGAAGATCCAAATGCTCAAAATATTAAATTAAGAACACAATCAAATTGACTTCAAGATTTCATTTACTTAAAATTAGCCAAGTCACTTCAGTTACCGTAGAAGACTGGCATAGTCTTTGCTGACCAAAGGAAAAAATACTATGTGTGAAAGAGAAAAAGTATTGTATTAAAAGCATTAGTTCAATTAAGAGAATAATGTACTGTTACTTGGAATGAGAGATGGAAAGAAAAAGTGGAATGAAGCATGATATTTGAAGCAAAATTATATATTTGGGCCAACGAGATGACTCCGCAAGGAAAGGCTGCTTGCTGCCAAGCCAGACAAACTTAGTTCAACTCCCCTACCCACTAGGTAGAAGGAGAGAATTGACTCTCAAAAGACTCTTCTAGGCTCCGTGTGCACAGCATGACACACATATGCTTAACACACATGTGTATATACACGAAGTAAAAAGAATACACATTCATATTTCACACAAAACAAACAGGATTACAAATCCATATTCAAATATAACTTGGCTGAGGCTTTGGAAAGACCAATGATAGATGACCAGGCATGCTTAGAGCAGCTAGGCCAGTGTGGGTTTCATATTCCAAGAGTGGTCTGAAGCCAGGCAGTGGTAGCACATGCCTTTGATCCCAGCACTTGGGAAGCAGAGGCAGGCGGATCTCTGGGAGTTTGAGGCCAGCCACAGAAACCCTGTCTCAAAAAACCAAAACAAAATCAAACAAACAAAAGAGTGATTTGAACAGAAGACAGAGATTAGGTCATATGATCAGCTTTTCAGAGGTCAGGGAGTATGGTAGTGGACTTTCCTAGAATGCACCAAGAGCTGGGCGTGACTCCTGGGATCCTAACTGCTCCCCAGTTAGCGGCCAACACAGAGCTTCAAGTTCTGAAAACTTTTGCTAGTTTCCTTTATACATGTGCACACACATTTATGCACACCAAAAACTGCAGAGCAGGACAATCAGCTCTGCATGTGTGTGCCAGCACTTGACACACACACACGTGTGTTTAGCACAGACTACCTGGCAAAGTGATCCTGCGTCTGTGTCTGTCTCCTCCACACACAGGCTTCAGAGCGCATGAATGCCAAGCCCGGCATCTTTTACACAAGCACCTCCTGTTGATCATCTGAAATTTCACAAATGGGCGGGGTGTGGTGGCATACACCTTTAATCCCAGAATTTAGGGGGCAGGGGGCAGAGGGCAGAGGCAGGTATCTTTGAGTTCCAGCCAGTCAGGGCTAAAAAGTGAGACCCTCTCATTAAACCAAATAAATAAAAAACTAGTTGATTAAAATATATATATTACAGCTGGGCATGGTAGTACCTGTTTGTAATCCCAGCACTCAAGAGTGAGGCAGGGGGACTACAGAGTTGAAGGCAGCCAACCAGTGAAATCCACACCACCACAAGGATGCATTTACACTGTGAGGCGTTAACCAACATGGCCAATATAAGCATAAATTGACTTTGCTGACAAAGGCAAAGGCAGTAACTAGTACAAATCTGTCTAGTTACTTGGTGAATAAGGTTTGAACAAATTTAACTTTAAAACAAATCATTGGATTCCACAAAACAAAAGCCAACTAGAAAATATCATTATCAATGTGCCCTGACAGCCACAGCTGCTGTTGGAGGTGCTGGTTTGCAGAGGGTGGTGGTTGAGGGGGGGGGGGGGGGGGGGCAGCATCCTGGGAAAGATCTCCACCTGCCACACGGGGCTTCAGCACGCTGGCCCTGCTCTTGCCTCCTGCTCACGCCCAGCCAAGTGTCACATCTAAGAATTCCTGCTCCTCTAGCTAACCTCATTAAATAGACCCTGTGACTTAGCAGTTTCATGTATCTCCACATCTGATTAGCTCTTTCTGTCTCACTGTAAAAACAGAACAATAGTATTTAGGGAACCTTTCAACTAAGGATAGAACCATAAACTGTTACTTTGTAATGTCCTAAATTGACAACGAGTAATAAAACTAAAAGACTAGGTAGTATTCAAAAGCCAATTCCCCCCCCACCCCGCCCCGCACTTGCGATGTGGAGGTGGGAAGGAGGTCAGTGTTATCCTTGAATATATTAGGCCTGTCTCAAAAACAAAAACAAAGCCAACAGAATCAATCGTTACAAAGGCGGGAGTGTGACTTCGCGCCAGACTTGTTTTCAGCCCAGGTTTGATCCTCAACACCTCCTCTAGAAATTTATGCAAATTAACTGTGATGCTGAATTTCCTCAAAAGATAAAAGCAATTTTTATAATTAACCGGTGCTCTGAAACCAAAACGTCACAGAATTAAATGTGTTTGTCTCAGGCGGTGGTGCCTCAACTGCCTAATCGGAAGAATCCCTCATTTAAAGCACAGCACGAGCCCTGCGCAAGGATGCCCGCTGCAGCCCAGCTGCTCCGGAGGCACAGGCTGCAGGGCGGCTTCCAGGCCACCAGTCAACACCAGCTGATTAGCACCGTGATACTCAGCTTCTCAGGTGAGTAACCCAGAGCCTGGTGGAGAGGACAGTGCAGTCAGTGGGAGCCGGACTTCAAGGGGCCAGTTTCATGATGTCCCTACTAGCATCCGCTTTCTGAGACGCACAGGTGTTGCCCCTGAATGGACTTTCGTGTGCTCTGACTGTACTCTTTAAAAGCGTTAAGTCAAAGAACGTGGTTTCTACAACAGCCGACAACAACAGTCAATAACAAAAATTTAAGAGCCTGTACCAATTTAATGTCGTGCAGCCTTCTCTGTGTTCCAGAGCACTGAGTGGGAGGACAGAGGGCACTCTGTACACTTGATCTGTGCCTAGGAGTGGGTTTACACTGAAGTATGTATCCCATCCATGAAGGCCACTCCATACGTGGTACTGCACATATATCTCAATTTAAAATTAAAGACCGGTTAGTTAGAAAACTAAACATAAAACAAGCTAAGTCTTCCCTCAGATAAATACTTTGCAAAGATCACATCTTTTCAGGAGATAGATGCACACCCTGCAAGATCCATTCAAAGCTAAATTTTGAAAATCATAACTGAGCACAAGCTGTTCCCTCTGCCAAAAAGCAAAGGTGTTGTCACATTTCATCCATTCATCACAGATGGAAATGACAAATACAAGTATTTTAGGAGAAAGACTGACAAGGAAATCTTGGCAGTGGGGTTTTTCATCTTTTGTTCGTTAAACAGAATCACGCTGTGGTAAAAAGGATTGTTGTTCAGCAAACATTTCACCCCCGGCCTGGGACCGGCACAGGAGGCTACTATGCCCCGATGCAGATATTGGGTTCTGCCACACAATTTGTTTGGCCAGTAGGATGTTAAGATGCTCAATACAGCCAGTCTTTGGCCTTGCTCTCTTATGCTTGTGTTCACAGAGGCTAAGAGATGCAGGAGGGCGGAAGGGGCCCAGCATGCGGCTGGGCCAAGCCTAGTTCAGCAGAATCCTAGAAGATCCGGAGCTGTGAGATGGGACACGTACTGGAGAGGCCTCTGCACTCTGGGGCAGCGTGAGAGAGATGCCACTTGAGAACAGTGAACACATTCATGGCGATGCTCCAATTTCTATAAGCTCTACCTTCACAGTTGGTCTACACGGAACCATTTCAAAGTAAGACTGTGGTAATGCAGGGTGTAAGGGCCCTGCTCTGACACAGCAGAGAGAACCCCCCCCCCCCGCGCTGGCTTTCCAGTCCTGCCTGTTTCCCTTCATGGCTATAGCGCTGACTGCAAGGAACTTTCATAGCTGCATGGCCTGACGCTCATCATTAGAACCCGTCCCCAGAGAACACACGCTCCACACAGGCTGCACTGTACCACACTACCGCACACGCACAAGATCAATGCTAACTACTAACTTGCTCGGGAACAATTCTATAAAAACTTTACACTCTTAACTCCAGCACAAACTCCAGCATTCACGATGCTAAGGCAACTCAAAGCTTGCTTACTGAACCTCAGTTTCCTTTCCAAGCCGATGGTGAACATCTTCTGAGTAAATGTAAAACTATGATCAAAGCAAAAGCGTTTATACATAAAAAGTATAAATTCCACTCTCAGTGTTTGCTGCAATGGGAACAATATACAGAGGTCATCTTTTTAAAATAGATAAAGGATTTATTTATTTTATTAATTGAAATTAAGATTATTTTTTCATACAATACATCCCGATTTCAAGTTTTAGAAGAAATTTCAGCTGGGCTCCAGTAGTCAACAGCTGTAATCCAGGCATTTGGGAGGTGGAGGCAGGAAGGTCAAGGCCAGACTCATGTATATATATATATATATATATATATATATATATATATATATATATATACACACTGAGCTTCAGGCTAGCCTGGGCTATCTGAGACTCTGCCTTAGACTCTAGCCCTCATGCCCCTCTGTTGTACAGGCCTGTGCTCTGAGCCAAACTGCCAACACCATCCTGAGTTCAGCTGTGCCCCCTTGCAAATGTCCACCACAGCTAGACTGGAGAACGGAAGGAGGGTGGCTGTGGCACCTCAGCTACCCAGCCTCGCCCCCCAGCCAGCTGTATGCAATGTCGCCGTTGATGTGCCTGGCCTCGGGGAGGGCAGGGCATACAGACTGGGAAAGTCTGGGTGCTGGTGCTGGGAAGCAGCTCCCATCTATGCAGCTCTGCAGAGGCTTCATCCACCTGGACACAGACCTCCAGATGGGTCGCTTTAGGTTATCCATGCCCTGCAAGTAACCCTGCTAAACTCGCTGCTTCCCCAGGGAGAACCGGGTGGGATCAAACTAGGATTTGCCACTGAGGCCTCATGAGGAAGGGGGCAGACGTTGCCTAGCCATGACCCCCACCCCGAAGGGTGAAACGTCTAGAGATAACCTCCAAAAAGGTAGAATTTGAAACATATTAAAATAATTGGAAATATACATGTTTCCCATGATCACAACTCCCACAAAGAATTAATTTACATTACAAGCTTTATATTTCTGTATTTTGGTTTTTTGAGACAGGGTTTCTTTGTGTATCCTTGGCTGTCCTGGAACTCCCTCGGTAGACAAGGCTAGACTCAAATTCACAGAGATCGACCTCTGTCTCCCAAGTGCTGGGATTAAATGGCTAGATGGCACCACTACCATCTAGCTACAAAGTTTATCTTATCAAAAGTAAACTAATACTTCATCAGTTGGACTGGGAGGGGGGATACAAAGTGAATAAATTGGAATAAATAAATATATAAATTAAATTTAAATATAAACTAATACTTCAAATAAAAAAAGTTATAAAATTAGAAAATAATTAGAAGTACATAATAAGGAAAATACTATAAATCAAAATACTCTAGTTAAAGCCAAGTCAGTAGAGGAACATTCACAATCTAAAATGTATAAAGAAAAATAAGAATTGGCTAAAAGTGACCTTTAAGAAAATACCAGGCGCAGTGAGACACAGCCCTTGGGTGGCCGAGGCAAAAGGACTGCAAGTTCAAGGCCAACCTAGCTCCACAGCAAGAGCCTGTCTCAAAAAAAATCATGGAAAGGAGTATCAAACTAAATCTAAAAGTAGAAAATAAAGAAGAGAATTAAGGGCTGGAGAGACGGCTCAGTGGTTAAGAGCACTGACTGCTCTTCTAGAGGACCTGGGTTCAGTTCCCAGTATTCACAGGTCAGCTCCATGACTCACACATAACTCCAAGACTTGACACCCTTACACAGACATACATGCAAGCGAAAAACCAATGCATATAAAAATTAAAATAAAACAAAAAAATTAAAGAAGAAAATTTAGTAGAAAACATACAATAAAATCTCATTTTTATGAATAAAAAGGTGTACAGCAAAGCTATCAAGGAAAACTGTGTGTGTGTGTGTGTGTGTGTGTGTGTGTGTGTGTGTGTGTGTGTAAAATACCACAACCACAACCACAAAGAGAGACTGAGCACCAGTATAGTACTAAAGGATACCATACAAATGACAAATGTCATAAACGATTAGCAAGATTTAGGGCCAGAAAAGAGCTGCTACTTCTTTCCTGATGGACATTACTGCATCAGCTGGTCAGCTGGAATAAAGCCCCTTCATTAAACTATTGTAACACTGCCACATTATTCTATGTTAGTGCAGGAGAAAATTATTATTTAGGGAACAAATACTTAGTAATAAAGAAATAGTATTCTGAAAGTTACTCTCACGCTGTTTGGAAATAACACTCATGTAGTTAAAAACTGACAAGTGGCCATTTAAATAACTCATATGTAGTTAAAATTGATAGGTGGCCCTTGCTCATTCTGGCCTGAGTACTGCCTGCAGTAGGTCCCTGCAAACTAGACCAGTCAGAATGGAGACCCTTCCGCTAAAGCCAAGTGATCAAACTCAATAGGAGTCTCATACCCACAAATGTCAGGACCCAGTTTCTGTGAGGTCACAGGAATAAAATGTCAGATGCTAGGAACGTAGATAGAGCCAGTTAGATCCTTCCATTCACTTGTTCTAAGTTCGTCCTTTGGTCTCCTGACCAAAGAGAGCAAAACCACAAAGCAGATGAGGTATAAGGCAATGACTGTGGAGTCAACCTGACGGGAACACAGGGCGCCTTTGTACTGTTCTAGATTCCCAAATACAAAGACATGGTTTTACAAAGGTATTATCAGCAGAAGCTGTTATCAGCTCACGTCTCTAAATCCAAACCTCTTTCAAAAAGTCTAGAGTATTTAAAATTTGCTACTATATTCTCCCCATATTCAAATCGCTGATCTTCTGAGGTTCTAGAAAAAAAGTGAAGTACTGGCTAAAGAGGCTCGGCTGGTAAAATGCTTTATCTAACTCAAAAGCCCTGGGTCCAACAGCCAGCACTGAATAACACCTGCCACAGTGACACACACCCTGGTCCCAGTGCTCAGGGTGGAGAGGCAGGAGGATCAACACACAGGAAGGTCAAGGCCGGGCTAGGATACTTAAAACCTTTCTGAAAAAACAAATGTTAAAAGAAAGAAGGCAGTCTTTGGGGCCAGCACAGTGATCAGTGGGTAAAGACATTTGTCACCAAGCCTGACAACCCGAGTTAACTCTCCCTGTTTTCATCTGACATGCACAAGTGTGCACACACTGGCAAACACACACAGCCGGGGAGGTGGCCCTGACTCTTGCTGTGCAAGCACCTGGACTTTTAAAAAGCTACTTATGCACACTGGTAATCCCAGCACTGTGGCGAGTGGACAGGAAGATCCCTGAAGCTTACTGGCTACCAGCTAAGATCCAGGATCAGATAGAGTCTGTCTCAAAGGAGTAAGGCAGACAGAAAGAAAGCAGAACATTTGATGTTCTCCCCTGGCATCTGCATATACATACAGTTACACACAAAAAATAAATATTTATTCATCTTAAATTATTGATTACTATAATTTTGAAAATAATGTCATATGATATAAAAATAACCTCCAAACAGACAACCAAAAAGGGATGGGGACACCGGGGAGTCAGAAGGCACCTTCTTAGAAGCAAATAGTAAGTATAAAGCCTATTTCACAGTGGCAAATAGCACCTACGGGTGGAGGTAGAAGGATTAGGAGTCACCTGACTTCCACACAAGTCATACACACAGTAATAAATAAAAGTAGTTCTTTTAGTGAGTACCCAGATATAGACGATAGGTCTCTTTAAAATGCTTCTTTTATAAATAGTCCTCAGCCAGGTGTTGTGGCTGACACCTGACATCTTGACTCTGGAGGCTGAGACAGGATGGCTGTCTTGAGCACAAGAGTTTCAGGTTACCCTGGGCAACGTGGCAAGACTTCAGCTCAAGGGGCAAAGCACATATACTTTGTGATACGCTATAACACATACTATATATTATATATTATACATTCTATAGCAGAGCCTTCAGAGACAAGACATGCCACTAAACTGCCGTCTTCCTGAACACATCCCCTTGCTGTGTTCACTAGAGTGGGATGCAAAGAGCCACTGTGGCTCCCAGGCTCTGCACCTTGCAGACCACCACCAGGCGAATCAGCCCCACCCACCAACTGACACACGACTCAGTGCTGGTCAGGGACTGGCTTTCCCACTCTGAATCTTGGGCAGGGCAGAAAGAACTCGCTAGAGTGTAATAGAAGTGCATATCCGGTTTTATCTGAGAAACACAGTTTCCTGAGAATGGTGTTGAACAGCAAAGGACCGGTTAGAGAAAACACTCCACCTATACAAAGCAAGAGCATACAGCATGAGGGGGTAGTTCCCTGAGTTCTTAAGATGGTAAGGAAAAGCATTTGTTGGCTGGCATCGGTCAGCGATAGGAGGCATGCCCAGCTCGGTCAATCCCATCACCTCCACCATCATCACCCAGCCAGGCCGACAAGAAAGCACAGCTTGTGCTCCACAGATCAGGGAAGCATGGGAGCAGAGTGACAGCAAGGCCAGATGCCTCCAAACCCCAGAAGAGACGAAGAAAGACAACTGCAGATCACACTGAGGAGGCACGTGGGTTAGAAATCTCCACCCTGGTATCCAGGGTGATTCTTGCAACATGTGGCCGGCCACATGCTAAAGGAGCAGTGCCCTGGGAGTCGGCACTCCAATCAATACCAGCTGTAGCAGAGAATAACTGGACATGCGTTCACAAAGAGTGCTGTGGAATTTAAAATGCAAACTTATGAGTAACAGCTAAAGAAAATGTTTATGGGTGGACTAGAACATGAATAATGTGAACCAGGCACAGATCAGCAGCTGCAGATCAGGCTGGGTTTCAGAGCGAGACCTTGCCTCAACAACAACAGGGGCAGGAGAGATGGTTTAGTGGGTAGAGGCGCTTGCTGCTAAAGCCTGACAACCCGAGTTCAATTCCCAGAACCCACGTAAAGGTGGAGGGAGAGAATCAAGCTTATAAAGTTGTTCTCTGTCTACCCAAACCATGACATGTTCCTACATTCACGTGCACTGTGCACTCACACACACAATAAAAAGTTAAATAAAACAACAATAAGACCCACACCAAGTAATCCCAGAACTGAGGACAGAAGCAGGAGGATCAGAGTTTCGAGGTCACCTTCATCTACAAAATAAGCTCAAGGCCAGCCTTGGCTACTTGAGTCCCTGTCTCAAATATGTTTTTAAAAAAGAAGGGGGATGGGAGTATGTGTGAAATGCCTGAAAATGAGCAAATATAGTAAGTAGGAAAATGTCATAATAAACCCATTATCTTTTTTGTGCACTAAAAATTATTAAAAATTCACCCAGGACTTGATACATGCTTACCACAGCAATAGTCCCAGTAGTGATAACAGTGGACCCTATGTATAAAAAAGTACAAAATGCTCTAAGTGATCTATAGCCACGTAGATGAACAGGGAAAAGCACAATGCTAGAAGAAACAGCGTGCCAGAATGGTGAGGTGTGTCTCCCGCACAACTTCTGTGCCCTGCTCTATACCTGTTCCTGAACACTGCTTACTTGTCTTGTCTCACAAACAAGAGGTGACCCAGAAGCCCAGTTAACCAGCTGGCTACCCTGAGTCAACTCAGTAGTCAAGGGCTAACAGCCAAGAATCCCCGAGTCTCCAGAACCGTTATAATGGTTTACAATTAACCAAGCAGCAAAAGAATAACCCCAAGTTGCAAAAGGCATCTTACCAAGGTGATGTCTCGGGAGGCTGCGGCGGCGCTCATATGCAAGCTGGGCTGCCTCACGGAGCTGCTGCAATCCAGGGCTCGGGCAAACGTCCCGACAGCACTGAGAAAGCCAAACACAGATGAGAACAGTAAACCTGCTACTCCTTTAATAAAAGATTGTCTTACTTATTTATGTTACGGTATGAATATTTTGCCTACACACATGTAAGAGCACCTCATGCACGCCTGCTGCAGGAGGAGGTCAGAGAGCCATGTCAGATCCCTTGGAACTGCCCTGCAGGAGCAGCAAGTACTCTAACCACAGAGACATCTCTCCAGCCCCTCTGTCCCGGTTTGCTTTCTAGGGCTGGGATAAACACCATGAACAAAAGCAACTTGGGGAGAGAAATGTTTATCTGCTTGCATGTCCCAAGTCACAGTCCATCACTTAGGGAAGCCGAGGCAGGAACCTGGAGCAGAAGCTGAAGCAGAGGCCTTGGAAGAGTGCTGCTGGTGTGCTTGCCTCGGTCACTCAGCTTGTTTGTTCTTATGCCCCAGGACCACCAGCCTGGGGTATGCTGCTTACAGCTTCCGATATCAATCAGTAATCAAGAAAATACCCCTTAGACTTACCTACAGGCCAATCTGAGAGCTGTGTTTTCTCAACTGAGGTTCCCCCTTCTCAGATGACCCCAGCCTTTTCAATTTGTCAAAGAAAACTAACCAGGACACCACATGTTACTTTATTTTTCTTTTTTTTTTAATTTATTGATTGATTGATTACAGTTTATTCGCTTTGTATCCCAGCTGTAGCCCCTTCCCTTGTCCCCTCCCAATCCCACCTTCTCTCTCTCATCTCCTCCTATGACCCTCTCCAAGTCCACTGATAGGGGAGGTCCTCCTCCCCGTCCCTCCGATCCTAGTCTATCAGTTCTCATCAGAATTGGCTGCATTGTCTTCCTCTGTGGCCTGGTAAGGGTGCTCCCCCATCATGGGGAGGTGATCAAAGAGCCAGCCACTGAGTTCATGTCAGAGACAGTCCCTGTTCCCATTACTAGGGAGCCCTCTTGGACACTGAGCTGCCATGGGCTACATCTGTGCAGGGGTTCTAGGTTATCTCCATGAATGGTCCTTGGTTGGAGTATCTGTCTCAGAGAAGACTTCTGTGCCCAGATTTTTTGGTTCTGTTGTTCTCCTTGTGGAGCTCCTGTCCCTTCCAGGTCTTTCTATCTCCCCCTTCTTCCATAAGAGTCCCTCCCTGTACTCTGCCCAAAGTCTGGTTGAATCTCAGCATCTGCTTTGATACCTTGCTGGGTAGAGTCTTTCAGAGGCCCTCTGTGGTAGGCTCCTGCCTGTCCTGTTTCCTGTTTTCTCCCTCTTCCGATGTCCATCCCATTTGCCTTTCTGGGTGAGGATTGATCATCTTGCCCAGGGTCCTCCTTCTTGCTTAGCTTCTTTAGGTGTGCAGATTTTAGTATGTTTATCCTATATGTCTAATATCCACTTATAAATGAGTATATACCATGTGTGTCTTTCTGCTTCTGGGATACCTCACTCAGGATGATTTCTAGTTCCCATCATTTGCCTGCAAATTTCATGATTTCCTTGTTTTTAATTGCTGAGTAGTATCCCTATGTGTAAATGTACCACAATTTCTGTATCCATGCCTCTGTTAAGGGACATCTGGTTTGTTTCCAGATTCTGGCTATTATAAATAAAGGTGCTATGAACATTGTTGAGCAATGTTATATACTTGATCACATTTGTTATTGTTATTTATACTTGATCATATTTTGGATATATGTCTAGGAGTGGTATAGCTGGATCTTGAGGTAGCACTATTCGTAATTGTCTGAGAAAGTGCCAGATTGATTTCCAAAGAATTTGTACAAGTTTACATTCCTACCAGCAACAGAGGAGGGTTCCCCTTTCTCCACATCTCCTCTAGCATATGTTGTTACTTGAGTTTTTGATCTTAGCCATTCTGACGGTTGTAAGGTAAAATCTCAGGGTCATTTTGATTTGCATTTCCCTGATGACTAAGGACGTTGAGCATTTCTTTAATTTCTTTAAGTGTTTCTCTGTCATTCTACATTCCTCTATTGAGAATTCTGTTTAACTCTATACCCCATTTTTTAATTAGATTACATGATTTGTTGCTTTTTAACTTCTTGATTTTTTTTATATATATATATTTAGCCCTCTGTCAGATATAGGGTTGGTGAAGATCCTTTCTCAGTCTGTAGGTGGTTGTTTTGTTCTGATGACAGTGTCCTTTGCTTCACCTAAGCTTTTCAGTTTCATGAGGTCTCATTTATTGATTGTTGATCTTAGAGCCTGTGCTGTTGGTGTTCTGTTCAGGAAGTTGTCTCCTGTGCCAAAGAAATCAAGGCTCTTCCCCACTTTTTCTTCTAACAGATTTAGTATGTCTAGTATTATGTTGAGGTCTTTGATCCACTTGGACTTTAGTTTTGTGCAGGGTGATAAATAGGGATCTATTTGCATTTTTCTATATGTAGACATCCAGTTTAGACCAGCAACATTTGTTGAAGATTCTGTCTTTTTTCCGTTGTATTGTTTGTCTTCTTTGTCGAAAATCAAGTATCTGTAGGTGTATGGGTTTACTTCTGGGTCTTTTATTCAATTCCATTGATCCACCATTCTATATCTATGCCAATACCATGCACTTTTATTACTAGTGCTCTGTACTACAGCTTGAGATCAGGGATGGAGATACCTCCAGATGATCTGTTGTTGTACAGGATTATTTTAGCAATTCTGGGTTTTTTGTTTTTCCATATGAAATTGAGAATTGCTCTTTCAAGTTCTGTAAAGAATTGTGTTGGTATTTTGATGGGAACTGCATTGAATCTGTAGATTGCTTTTGGCAGGATGGCCTTATTTTTCTTTTTATAATTTATGTTTAAGTAGGGTGTCGTGTGTGTGTGTGTGTGTGTGTGTGTGTGTGTGTGTGTGTTGTGGAAGAGGCAAAGCCATATGCATGTGTATGTTCACACATGCAGAAGGCAGAGGTCAGCTCCAGTGTTAGTGGTAGGGGCTGTCCCCCTTATTTTTTGAGACAGTTGCTCATTCTACAACCTAAGGACTTATGTCTAGGAAGGCAAGCCAGGGAACACCAGGACCTCCCAGCACTGGGCTCACAAGCACACACTCAGCTTTCCTCACAGGCCCCAGGGCTGAATTTAGACCTTCAGGCTTTAGCAGCGTGAGCTCTAACTCCCAGCCCTGTCTTACGTTATGACTGGAAGCAGGAACCAAAGCAGAGACTGAAAGGGTTAGGCTAACTTTGTAACCTATATGTCTTCTAAAGCCTATAGTTTTGAGTTTTAGGTCCAGGTTAAGCTAAAGCCTCTTAGTACCTTTCCAGAGAATGGAGGAATGTGACCCTATCTGTGAGGACAGATATAAAAAAAGGCAAGCAAGCAATGACTTTCACTCAGCAAAAAGAAGGACCAGACCCTTGTCTTTGAGATAGCGTTTCTTAGCAACGAACCTAGACTTCTGAGTAGCTTTTGACCTCCAGCCAAAAGTCCACAGCCCCTAATCTTCAAGGATGAGCTAACCACCCCCACCTTCAATTGCAGCTGCATCCACACTTGGCAGGACTGGCCAAGCTTGAGCACCTAAGACTAACCAATTATCTTACTTTATAGCTTCCTCATCCAATCCTAAATTGCCACGACTGAAACTTCAAATCTCCCACAATTTTTCTTTTAAAAACCTAAAGGCCTTTGTCTCCCAGTGCCACTCTTTGTGACCGGCAGGGGTGACTCCATTGCGCAATGGTTAATAAACCTCTTGCTTTTGCAACGAGTCTTGGTCTGGGGGAGTTTCTGGAAAGGGTGCAATCTTAAACTCCTGAGCTGTGAGACCCCAGGTCTTACAAGACCATAAAGGAGGACTGCACTTTTAGGTAGTAAATAATAAACCGTACAAGAAAGGGGAGAAAAAGCTGTTGGATGTTTTAGAATTAAGTATCAATTGAAAAGCATTTTTCTCTTTTAAGATTTAATACAGACTGAGTAATCCTAAAGTAAAATTTTTAAAAATTTTGAAAGTTTCAAATGTTGAGTTTCAATACCACACTGTAATAAAAACATTGTTTCAGGCACAAAATCATTTGCACAAAGGGTAGTGTGGTGGCACATCCCCTTAATCCCAGAGCTCAGGAGGCTGAGGCAGAAGGATCTCCAAGAGTTATTAGACAGCCTGGTCTACACAGTTCCAGGCCAGCCAAGGCTACACAGTGAGACCCTATCTCAAAACAAAAACAACAACAAAAAGATATTATATGAATTCCTTTCAGGCTCTGTAAGATACATATGAAACATAAAAGAATTTCATGTTTAGTCTTGGGACCCATCCCCAAGACAGCTCATCACGTAAACGTACTTGCCAAATTCAAACAAACCAAACCTGCATTCCGGAAAAGCTCTGTTCCAACATTTGAGCATATGTACATAATTATCATTCAACAAGAAAAAAACAACAAATCTGTGTGGTCATAGAGAAGGAAAGGAAAGACGGAGTCTCAAATGCCATGGGGCACATCATTTGGTATTCAGATGTGCTCAAAAACAGGAAAAGGGAATTAACTGAGAGTTTACCTACCACTGCAAAACAAGTTCTAAATACCAACCGTGAAATCCCAGTAACGCTTCTCACATAAAATGTTACAACAGAAACCCTTCCTGTGGAGACTCAAAATAATACATTTTTTACTGTATCATTTTCAAAAAGCAACTTCCACAGCACTGATTTCCATTTGCAACAGTCTAGAGCCTTTCTGTATGCAAGGAGCCTTAATCCCAAGGGTGCAGCAAGCACACTGCCTACTCTGCCAAACATGATGGGGGGTGGGGAGGCATTTCCTCATTTTACTTAAAATCTAATACATAAGAAAAAGCAAAGCTGAGCGTGGTGGCACACATCTTTAATCCCAGCAGAGGCAGGCAGATCTCTGAGTTGGAGGCCAGGCTGTCTACAAAGGGAGTCCTGGACATCCAGGGTTAGGCAGAGAAACCCTGCCTCGAAAAACCAGCAAAACCCAACAAAACAAAAGAAAACTCAAAAGCTCCCAGTACTCGGGGAGTCAGACGCAGGTGGATCTCTTTGAGTTTGATGCCAGTCTGGTCTACAAAGTGAGTTTCAGGACAGCTAGGATTGTTACACAGAGAAACCATGTCTCGAAAAAAAATCAAATCAAAACAAAACAAAGAAAGAAAAAGCAAAGAAACAGAAGGTGGCCAAGTCTTCCCACACTCCTTCCCACGAACAAATGAACCACCATTCCAGACTCTTAGAAAAACAAAACAAGACCATGGCTGAGCATGGTGACTCAGGGCTTCAATACAATAGTCAGAGGCGGGAGGCTCTGAGTTCCAAACTGCTGGTAAAGCCGTTTGCATGCACATCCAGTACCAGGATGCTTCTCTCCTGTGTGAGGTATTAGCAGTGAATCGGACAGGGTGTGTGGGAGACAACAGCAAACACTTGTTCACAGCAGCTGTGCCAGTTTATATTCCCACAGGTGGACCAGACACTGCCGAGTGTCCCACACAGGCACCAACCCCCAGCAGGACTGGGGTCTAACCGCAGAGCGCTTGCCTGGTGGACCTGAGGTCAAGTCCCAGCACTGTGTGAGGGGAGGAGTGGATACAGCTGCAGTTAGGTGACTGGGACAGTGCTGGGCATCCAGGAAGCTGAGACAGGAGGATTGCTACAAATCTGAGGCTAGTCTGGCTATAGAGAATGAGATTCTGATAGATAAGTAAATTACCTTAAAAATTAATTAATTAATTTTAAAGTAATTACTTAAAATGAGATTAATTTTTTAAAAAGTGATTGTTTTTTAAAAATGAGATAAATTAATTACTTTCAAAATGAGATTCTGTTTCAAAAAACCAAAAACTAAAAATAATTGATTTTAATTTGTATTTAGATTTGGTATTTGGGGGTTTTGTTTGTGTGTTTAAACATTTTTTATAAAAAGATCCCCTTGTTCATGTTTCACATACGTGGACAACACAGCAGTTTGAGAAAGAAAAAAAAAAAAGCCAGCATGTAAACTGCAGGCCTCCCCAACAATCCACCAGCAGACTTTCCTGGGCGCAGGGGCGGTGCCACGCCCATGGCTCATTGCTGACCCTTCAGCATCCCCATGCCACTGGCCCGCTGCTGGCCAGCAAGATGCAGCTAATGCCTTCATCCAGTTACTAAGCTGTAAGGGGAGGGAACCCTAAGTGTCTGGCCACCACCAGAGTGTGACCTTGCACGGAGACAGTCCTTATAAACGATGATGTGTAAAGATGGTCTAATACTACTTCCAACAGAAAACTAGTATAACAGAGACCCTTCTGCCCATTGTGGATTGAACTGATTCTAATATTCTGCCATGGCTGATTCATGAGGCAGTAAACATTATAAATTTAGTTACAGTCTCTCATATCCATAATGTACACTATGTAACCATTAATAAAACAGTGCTTTGCACACTACATGGTCTTTTAAAATAAATGAACATAGCATATACACATAAACCTTCATTCAGTATTTGAGAATTTATCTCTTTGTTACCCAAAGTTCAAATTCTCTCATTTTAGTTGTGAAGTAAAATTACACTCATTGTATGAGTGTAATTCATTCACTCATCATTTGCTTGCTGATGCCCACTGAGGGTTTTTTCTAATTTATCTAGCATTACAATGGTATGTTTATCTCATTCACTTTCTCTTTTATGACAGTTTTCCCCACAAGCCTCATTTACTTTTATAATTGAAGAAATAAAAATAAAATCCTTCCCCGATCATTGCTTCAGGAAAGAACCCAGGAAGAAGGAAGGTGAGCAAGCACTCACACAGTCTCACACAGCTGCTCTCCTCTTCTTCTTCCTCCCATCTTCATTTTGTGCTTGGTTTTTGTTTTTGTTTTGTTTTGAGACAGTTTTAGGTAGCCTAGGCTAGCCTCAGACTCACTACTGCCACAGGCTAGCTTCAATTTCCCAATCCTTCTTCCTTCACCTCCCAAGTACTGGGATTACAGGTATGTGCTGCCACCCCTGGAGTAAGTGGCACTTTTCTACTGACACCTGAATAATCCAGTTTAGAGTCTGGCAATGTCCATAATGAAGGACATTTCTTTCATTAAAGATCTGGAATTCAGGTGTTCAAGTTCCTCCCTGTGCCTCCACTTTAAAACAACCAAGTATTGATATTTATTTTGAAAGACCCCAGCCTCACCCTAAGTTAAACATAGCACTGTTTTGTAAAACTCTGAAGGCCAGATGAGAAACTGGAAAATTACTGAGAAATCCTAGCTGTGTCACCCACTTGGGATATCTGTGGTCAGGCTGCCCCTGTTGAGTTAAAAACAACTTTGTCCTGACCACCCTCATGGGATATCTGACAGGTGGTCCGGCTGAGATAGGAGTCCTGGGAAAAGCAACATATGGCGGCACTAGTCAAGGTCATCATAATTGTTTTGACCACCCAGTTCCTGGAATCTTGGTGCCCCTGCCAAACTTTGACACAAATTGTGGTCTCGTGTAAACGTACCAATCAGCCCCCTGTAACCATGCCTTCTCGCTTCTGTACCAGTGCTTCTGCCTCTAAAACCCTATAAAAACCCCAGCTTCCCATCTAGGGGGCGCGGAAGTCTCCCGAATGACTTTTCGCCCCGGGTACCCGAGTATCAAAATAAAAGCCTCTTGCTGTTTGCATCCGAATGGCCTCGTTGATCCTTGGGAGGGGGTCTCTCTGACGGAAGATACCTTCCGGGATCTTTCAATTTATGTTAGGTGGGTCCTCTTGGTTGTTGTTGGCTTAGGCTGTTGGCAGTGCTGAGGACTGAGCCGGTTGATGTGCATGCTAGGCAAGTACTCTACCACTGGGCGACAGGCCCCGGCTCTTGCTTTCACTTTCTAAATTAATTAAATATTTTCACTTATAACAAATTAATGACAGTAACTCAGTGGACAATGTGACTATACATTGGGTTTTCTCACAGGACTAGAAAAAGTAGAATACAACTAACCAGGTGAAGGCTAGAACATAAAGAAAGGAAATATACCAGGCACGGTGGCATACAACTTTAATCCTAGTACTCAGAAAGCAGAGACAGATGCATCTATCTAAGTTCAAAGCCAACAGCAGGCTACACAGTAAGACTGTCTTAAAAAAAGGGAGGGGTATGGAGAGGAAGGGAAGGGAAGGGAAGGGAAGGGAAGGGAAGGGAAGGGAAGGGAAGAAAAGGGAAGGGAAGGGAAGGGAAGGGAAGGAAAGGAAAGGAAAGGAAAGGAAAGAAGGAAAGAAGAAAATTGGGGCTGAGATTGCTGCCAGGACTGGTTCTCAGCACTCATAACTATCCATGACTCTAGTTCCAAGAGATCTGAAACCCTCATGTGGTCTCCAAAAGCAACAGGAGAGCATATACTGACAGGCAGGTAAATATTCACACACATAAAATAAAAGTCTTCTTTTAAAGAACTGTACGTAAGTGTAAGTTCTTTCGTGAAAAGCCTTGACTTGGTAACGTCATACTCACCGGGCTACAACTAAAAACTGGTCAATCTGTCGGTCCGTAAGTGGACTATTGGGATCCCAAACTTTAACTTCCAGTTTGGACTGTTCCCTCTCATCTGAGTCTCCTGCCGAGACAAGGAAAGGGAATGTTGTTATTCACCCTGTAGCATATGGTTGGCGACTGTGGTCACTAACATATTAGAAATGCTCAGATAAAGCCGGGAGTTCCAGGCCACCCAGGACAACACACTGAGGCTCTATCTTGGCAACAGCAAAACTAATCTACAAGACTGCCTAACTTTCCACCTTTTTTATCACATAAAGTTGGAGAAAGGCAAATTCAGAAATGTTCTTACATAGCACTAATCCTCCAACCATTTCAAGATTTTCAGAAACACAGACTATTCCTTACTAGCACCCAGGGTACTCCCACGTGGAAGGGCCAAGGCCATTCCACACATCCTGGAAGCCCCTTCCTGGACAACTGGAAATAACTGCTTCCTAAATAAAATTCATCTTAGCTGTACCAGCTGCCGCTGCCTGGCGTTTTTTTATGTTGTATTTAAATTAGAAACACTCAAGGATGTCATTTATCACCATTTTGTGGAATATTGCTCAAAAAGCTCCGGCTGATATGAATCAAAGGAGTAATAAGTTACTAGAATAGCATCATAAATATAAATATAAAAAGCTCAGTGAAATTCCAAAGAAAATATAATATAAGAAAAAAATAGCATTCTTTTTGACAGTAAAAATAAGAAATACAAACAACATTGGCAGTATATTTATACAATCATTAGAACTTCAAAAGGAAAGATGATTCCAATAAATAAACAGTGAAGTTTTAAGTCTTTCTGATAGCAGTTTTGCACAACTCTCTCATAGTATAAATTTATAAGAACATAATTTTGGAAGCAGATAAATTATTTTATTAATCTACAAATCAAATAGTATTAAGCTAGGAAGAAATAGCATTAACTCTGAATGGATTCTAATATAGAGCAACAGCAAACCAATGTTGAGCTCAGTTTGATCCCCAACACAACAAAAAGATTTGATAAAAGTACAGAAACAGGGACTGGGACATAGCTCAGCCAATTACATGCTTGCTAACACGGGTAAAGCCGAGTTCAAGCCCCAATACCACATAAAACCAGGCTTGGTGGTTTTGCCAGCAGTTAGAAGATGAAGGTAGGAAGAGACCAACCTAAACTAAATGAGACCCTGTTTCAAAAAATAAAATAAAATATATACTATAGCATATAGTAATGTATTTGAAAATATAAGTATTATAATCATATAAACAGTAACTGACACTAACTGAGCACTTACAATGTCCCAAGAAGCCATTACAGCAGGCTTTCTCAAGCTAGATACTCTGTGCATTCTCCTACATTTGACAGCATCAAAGGACTTTATCTAAGGTGTGCCTGCAGACCACCACCTACCTACCATACTTCCTTCACCAATATGACAGTAATTTTTATGCATTGCCTAAGGTTCCCTAAGGGAGAAACTTGTCCTGTTCTTGAGAATTATTGTTGTACATATCTGCAATGTACATCTGCTTAGAGTTAAATTAAACGTGCTGGAAAGAAGGGTGTGGTCAAGGTGTGGCCCTGCCCATCACTGATGCTTCTCCCATCTCTCCAGCAAGTTAAAACTGTGTGAGGCTGGCACACACCTTTAATCCCAGCATTGAGCAGGGGGATCTCTGAGTTCCAGGCTAGCCAAGGCTACACAGTGAGCTTTTGCTCATAAAAAACAAAACAAACTGTGAGGTCTCTCCTGGAGACTAGGACTCCAAACTGGCAGCAGGCTTCACTTTTTTTCCTGTTCCCGACTTCTACATTCTACAAAATTAGCCACTGTAAGCAACATGGTTGGGCTAAGGGTATAGCTCATTGGCTGAACTCTTGTCTAGCACCTGTGAGGACACACATTCAATCATCAGAGTGGGGAGGGAGAGGAGAAAATAACAAGGTTTATGGGGAAAATTGACAGAACTTTCAAAATCTGGGGAACTTGTCCTCAGAGCAGCTAAATGAATAAACTGTCAAGACTCAAACCCTGCCAAAATGAAGGCTCCACTGACATTTGCGGGGAGCACAAAGATTGGTTGATCTTTATCTCCTTAAACCCTGACCCTTAAACACTGAGATTCTGGCACAGAGTTTCAATGGAATTAAAAACCAAATCCAAGGTGCAGGAGTGATTTCCCTTTTACAAGCATAGTTGCTTATCTAGAAGCTAAGCCTCCCAAATGGCTCTTCCATAGCTGAGCAGTGCAGCAGCCTTTGAAGATGGGAGATCAGCCTCCTGGAGACTGCACTGAATGGAAGGGCTCCTCTGGAATTCCCTCTTCTCCTTCTAAACTCTCATGTCTCTCTGAGCACTGAGGGAAGTCTGCAGGGTCCAACACCGGTCCTACTCTATCTGCCAAGATTTTCCTATTTCATGACTACAGGTGAGCCAATCTTGGTTTTTGTTTGTTTGGCTTTGGCCCTTGATTGCCCTGGACTTACTTTGTAGACCAAGCTGGCCTTGAACTCACAGAGATCTACCTGCCTCTACCTCCCTGAGTGCTGGATTACAGGCATGTGTCACCACGCCCAGGGAGCCAATCATAACAAATTATGCACAAATAAATTCTCTAGCCCTCAAAACACAGCCCCTCCTTGAAGGTGGTGGCACATGCCTTTAATCCCAGCACTCTTTAATCCAAGGCAGATATTTTAATGTATGTATGTATTTATTTATTTTCCCTTGAGACATTGTTTCTATGTGTAGCCCTGGCTGTCCTGGAACCCATTTTGTAGACCAGGCTGGCCTCAGACTCAGAGATCTGCCTGCCTCTGTCTCCAGAGTGCCAGGATTAAAGGCCTGTGCCACCACTATCATCTTCCTTCCTTCCTTTTTCCCTTCCTCTCTCCCTCCCTCTCTCCCTTCCTTTTCCCTCCTTCCTTCCTTCCTTTCTTCCTTCCTTCCTTTCATAATTTACTTATTTTTATGTGCATTGGTGTTTTGCCTGCATGTATATCTGTGTGAGGGTGTCAGATACTGGGGGTTCAAATAGTTGTGAGCGGCCATGCCGGTGCTGGGAATTGAACCTGGGTTCTCTGGAAGAGTAGCTAGTGCTCTTAACCACTGAGCCCCCCACATACTCTTTCTTTAAAGGGATAAAAAAAAGAGTTAAGTCAGATGGGTTGAACTATTTCCCAAGATTAAAATTAAGGCCTATTAGCCAAATTTTACCTAATCTGGGAATCCAGAGTCAATCTAGATTTAATCACTTAACACTTCATTTCACTTAACATTTCATATATAGAATAAACTTCTTTCTTAAAACTCTATAGTGTAATACATTTAAATAATAATTTAAAATTTCCCACAAGACATATTCTTCTCTGGAAAACTCACACTAGGTGATCTATTTGAATTTACCGAAACATCTGACATCTAGCCTTTACCTTCATTTACAAGCTACACACTCATCATTTCAGATCTGAAGTGCTTGTTAAGGGAGAGGGAGCCATAAGGGACTCCTAGACCACCACACCCATTTAGAATCCAGGACACCCTCACAAAACAAGCAAGCAAGCCTGTACTAGGTTCTGGCCAGCTGCTGGGGCCACCTACCCAGGACATCATCCCAGGTCTGCCTCCCACGCCCATGAAAATGGTGATCTGGCCACTGGTCAGAAACGCCCCCACGGCAGACCGTCAGCAGGTTAGTGAGCTCGAATCGAGGCGCGTCCTGAACGCCTGTTCTCTAATGTGGCACTGCACTGTTCATTGCCCTGCAACCAGGTGCTAAGCTGTACACAGCTGCTTGTGCGGGGCAGTGCCTGCACTGAGCTTTGTTCTTGTTGTCTGTCTGTTGCTTTTTATTTTTCAGGACAGAGCCCTGCCATGTAATTTGGGACAGAATTTAACAACCTTCTTGCCTCAGCCTCCCGAACGCTGGGTTACATCCACACAACGCCCCAGGCTCAGGTTCATGACTTTATACAGCTACTGTTAATGCTGAGGCTGCTTCCCCTTCCGAGTGTTAACTAGAAAGGAGGTCCTTTAATCCATGCACCCAGCCAGGAGCCCCGGTAGAAAAGAGAAGAAACTGGGAGGCCGCAGTAGGAATCCAAACGTTTCATTTATGATTTTTTAAACGGAATGGTGGGCCAGTGAGATGGCCACAGGTAAAGTCACAGGCCTCCAAGCCTGACAACCTGAATTCGAATCCCCTGGATCTGTATGATGGAAGCTGTTCTCTGACCTCCATAGACAGCTTTGGCACACGTGTACACACACACATACACACATACACACACACACAGACACACACATCCATACACAAAATAAAAATGTAATATATTGTTTTGTTTTGTTTGTTTTGAGACAGGGTTTCTCTGTGTAGCCCTGGCTGTCCTAGAACTTAATTTGTAGACCAGACTGGCCTCCAACTCAGAGATTCACCTGCCTCTGACTCCCTGAGTGCTGGGATTAAAGGCGTGTGCCACCACCAGCCAGCAAAGGCCAGGCTCTTAATCACTGAGCTCCCCACATACTTTCTTTAAAGAGATAAAAGTTAAGTCAGACAGGTTGAACTATTTCCCAAGATTATAATTTAGACCATTAGCCAGATTTTACCTAATTTGGGACTCTAGAGTCAATCGTAGTTTAACCACTTAACAGTTAAACATTTCATAAACTTCTTTCTTAAAATCCTAGTGTTTACCTTTTATTTTAAAAATATCACATTTATAGCTCTTAAAGAAAAATGCCATTTAAAAATTTTCATTGCTCTAGGCCAATCTGGTCCACAGAGCACAGATCAAGTTCCAGGACAGCCATAGCTACACAGAGAAACCCTGACTGGAAAAACCAAAAAAAAAAAAAAAAAAAAAGTAACTAGTAATGACTTTAAAAAAAAAAAGCCAAGCAAAAATTTTAAAAAAGTATATCTTAAGTACATCTTTCCAGAAAGATTTGCTTAATAATCAAACTTTGGGGTGGAGATGGCTCAGTGGTTAAGCCTGAGTTAGTTCCCAGGATCTATATCAGATCCCTCACAAAAATGACCTGTAACTCCAGTTCCAGGGAGGGGACCCTTTGCCTTTTTCTGGACCCCTCAGGTACCCACATACATGTGACATAAACTCACATGGTCCATATATACACAGAGAGATAAATCTAATAAAGGTTTTTTTTTGTTTTTTTTTTTTTTTTATAAAATAGTAACTCTCTCATTTATATGAACTATAACAGAAGAGCCAAATTCCCACCAAAATGGAACTGCTCACTAGATTCCATTTTCCCCGAGCTAGACAGCTTAAAGGCATTTGTGAATCTCCAGACAGAGGCTGGGAATATACCTCAGTTACAGAGCACTTGCCTGGTACATATCAGGCCCTGATCCAGGGGGTGGGGTGGGGGGTACAGAGAAGGAGAGGGAGAAGATGAACTAATAGGAATTTCACATTAACTTGGAGTTCAACAACACTAACAAAGCTTTTAAGTTTTGGGTTTTTTGTTTTTGTTGTTGTTTTTTGAGACAGGGTCTATGTAGCCTTGGCTAGGCTGGCCTGGAACTCACTATGTAGACCAGGCTAACCTCAAAAACAGATCAGCCTGTTGCTGCCTCCCAAGTGCTTACAGGCGTGTGCAACCACACCTGTCACAACCCTAACAATGTAAAGCTTGAAAACAGCTGCAGAGCCCGTGGGACTGCTCAGCTGGTGAAGTGCTTGCCACAAAAACACAGGATCTCACTTTTAACCCCAGCATCCATATGAAAAAGAAGCGGCGCACAGCAGTGCATGCTGGTAATGCAGCTCTAGGAGGAGGGTCGGGGTGGGGTGACCCCTGGTCCCCGCCAGACAGTCCAGTGGAAGACCCTGTCTCAAAAGATAAGGTGACAAAAACCCTACCCAACGCTGACCACTGGCCTGCCCTGTTCCACACTCAGACACGTGTGTGGAACACACAAACACAACACACATACACTAACACACACCACACATGCACACTAACATACCATAAACACAGACACACACGCACACACACACACACACACAGTCACACACACACATACACACCCATAAAAACAAACAAACAAACATGCCATGGTATCATGAAGGAGTGGAACTGGCAAATAGATTATTCTCTGTTACTTATTATGGTTCTAAAATCGGAAGGCTCAAACTTTTAAACTCTCCATTTACACTTCTTCTTCCATGAGGACAGGAACCATCGTGTTTAAGACACCACTCTCCCAGGACTTGAGCCCAAAGCACACACACCTTCTGGTAGCATGTCTGGAATGTCGGCTTGGTACTTTGGGCCCACTCTGATTTCACCTTTGTCTGCTAATAATGTTTTCACTGAAGGATCATACACCAATGAGTAAAAGAAGGTATCCTAGAAGAAAAAGACAAAAAACACCTAAGTAAGCTGAATTCCTTTTACTTTTTGTAAAGCAATCAAATCAATATCGAAATAGTGAAACATGTAAATTTAACTTCTGAGTACATAAAATTTCACTTTAATGAATAAATTAATCTTTTTTCAAGACAGGGTTTCTCTGTTAGCCCTGGCTGTCCTAGAACTCTCCCTGCAGACCAGGCTGGCTTGAACTCAGAGAGATGTGCCTGTCTCTGCCTGCCAAGTGCTGGGATGAAAGGTGTACACTGCCACCCCCCAGTTGAATAAATTATTCTTTAAGGAGAACATGGCAATACTGTCATCATGCACAAGAGCACAAAATTATACAAAACCAATACAAATAACCTTAAGAAAAATATAAAATTTTATAATTTGCTTTACTATAGAAGAAAGCCATTAACTTCTCTAAAGCGGAGTTTTGCAAGCTAGCAGGGCAGGCTAGCAGGGCAGCTGAGGCAGCAGGGTCTTTTGAGGTCAGTCTGAGCTACACAGCAAAACCCTGTTTCAAAAACTAAAATGAAGCTGGGGTGTGAGGATGCACAGCTTTAGTCCCAGTCCTCAGGAGACACAGCAAGTGGCTCTCTGAGTTCCAGGCCAGTCAGGGATACATAGTGAGACCTGACTCAAAACAAAAGAAGCAAACAAAAGCCCCACATATTGACTAAATATATAAGCGTGGAACTCACATGTAGTTTATTTTTAAGATTTGTTTGTTTTTATTTTATGTGTATCAGTGTCAGCCTGCACGTATTGTCTGTGCACCACATGCACGCCTGGTGCCCACAAAGGACAGGAAAGGGCACCAGATCCCCTGGAACTGGAGTTGCAGATGGTTGGGAGCTGCCATGTGGGTGCTGACAACTCAACCCACGTCCTTTACAAGAGCACCAAGTGCTCTTAGCCACTGAGCCATCTCTGTAGCCCCCTGACATGTGGTTTGCTAATATCACTATACAAATCCCAAAATAATTATTATAATTCTGTCATTTTCTTCTCAATTGTAATGTACAGTCATTTATATAAAGACAGACACAAGCGTAACTAAACGCATCATTACCACCAACCAACATTTAAACATCCCACTCGTTCCTTCAGAGGCTCAGTAGTGCCAGCAAGAGAACTCAGAGGGTAAAGGTGCTTATAGTCTGAGACTATTAACCTGTGTTTGACCCCTGCAGCCCACATCAGAAGGTAGACAGAGAGCACTGCCTCCTCCAAGTTGTCCTGTGACCTCCATCTGTGGAATCTATGTCCACCCCACCCACCCATCACACACATGAGCATGAGTGCAGGCACATGCACATATAATAATAATAATAAATTAACTTTTAAAAACAAAACAAAAAGGCTCCGGTGGCCAAGAGTTAATAAGCACGGTGACCTGGCCACCAATTCTTATGAATTCTGCAGAGCCACTGCAGTGTGAGCCATTTACTCAGAAGACCACAGGGAGAAGGAACAAGAACCAGAGATAAACATCCCCATCTCCATCCTGAGCCTCTCACTGGCAAGTGGCAAAGAGCCACTGCTTTTGTTGACTCAGCCAGGACAATGTGACTGCCAAATGTACTTGGGCCATGCCCTCTTGCCAGGACGGCACAAAAGGAAATAGAGTTCAAGGTGTGAATGTCATGTGGAGTAATGGGGAGAAAACACAAAGTGAAAGGCTACAAATTACCTCTTTATCAAGGTATGACAACACTGATTCTGTCTCGTTCAGCAGAGCCACGCTGCATTTCCCCCTGTTTAAAGGACAAGAACACATGACAGGCATTACATCACAGTGATCACGCACGCCTGCAACTCTCAGGCTCCAAGGGTAGATGAACACCTAGATGGCAGGGAGGGACATATTTAAACTCTCCACACCAGCTCTGGTCTCAGTAACCTGTACAATAAAGCTGCATTTACAGGCATTTATAGAGGCCAGCCAGTTCCAGCGATGTTACTAGATAGCAAATCATTACAATTGACACTCTGCAGGCTCTTCCTAATTAGTCACCACAAAAGAAAAGAACTCAATGAAGCCTTCAGGCTAACAGTGTGACTCTCAATCTATAAAAGCATTAAGGTGAAAGCGCACACAAGGGGTCTTTGATCATCCTCATACAAACCAGCAGATAAAATAAGAGTTAGGCCTCTCAGTATGAGAACTTGGAAATATTGTACAGTCATATCAGAGTATAACCAACTTACCTTTACTGGAACTGCTTTAAAGCTAGCTCAATTTTAAACACAAATAACCACCATAGAACAAGGGGCAAAGTAAAGAGCTACACACTCATGGACCTTGAGAAATGAGAATTCTTTTTCTCCTCCTCCTCCTCCTCCTCCAGACAGGTCTCACTATGCGGCCCTGGCTATTCTTGAACTCACAGATACAGATACACCTCTGCTGAAATTAAAGGTGTATGCCACCATGGCTGGCTGAAAATCTATTAAAAGGCTAGCTCTGAGAAAAATCAAGGTTATCCAAGGTAGAAGGATGTATGACGAATACTTTCAAAATTATTCTCAAGTGGCTTAAAATTTTTACTCTAAGCCACAATAAGCACCAAATATCACATCCACAAACATCATATACACAGACCAGAAACAAGACCATCCTGTCTTGCTCATGGATTACTACAGTGAAGTATGAGTCAAAGAAAAAAAAAAAAAACTAACTAGAAGCAAAATAAATACCACAACTAAAAATGCTAAAACATTTTAGAATTTGCGTGTGTGTGAGTGAAAAGTAACAGCTTTCTGAGTGGGCACAGCAGTGCCCACCCTTAATCCCAGCACTCAGGCAGCAAAGGAGGACAGCTCTCTGCAAGGTCTAGGCTACAGAGTGAGTCTGTCTCAAAATAACAACAACAATAATAATAATACGATGTAAAACTTTTAAGTGACAGTTTTCTAAGATCCTGGGGGGATGGGAGGACACCTTCCCCCACCCCTCTTTTTTGTTTTGTTAATTTACTTTGCTTTCTTTTCAAAAGTTCCCTTAAATTTGTTTCTTTGAACTAGGAATAGTGCATCACCGTTATAATTCTAGCACTTGGGACTCTTAAGGATGGATCACAAGCTTACAGCCAGCTGAGCTTCACAGTCAGTTCCAGATCTCCCTGGAAATGGCCCCAAGGCTTGGGTATCTGAACACTTGTTTCCCAGTTCGTGGGAACTTAGGTTGACAGCCTTGCTGTTGGAAACATCACTGGGGGCAGGCTTTCAGATCACAGCTTCTTTCCCCTTCCAGTTCCCTCTCCCTGCTTCCTGTTTGCAATTGCAGACTTGAGTTCTCAGCTTCCTGCTTCCTGTTCGGCTTCCTGCTCCTGCTACTGTGCCTGCTGGTTGCTGCCATGCCTCTCTGCCATAGTGGATTCTTATCCCTCTGGAACCATAAACCCAAATAAATTCTTTCTTCTGTTGAGATGCTGTAGCTCTGGCATTTTATCGAAGCTACAGAAAAGAAACTAATACACTGGGCCACTGTGTGTTTTGAAACCCTGCCTCAAAAACGAAGGAAGAGAACAGAAAAGGAAGAGAACAGGAAAGGGTGTGGAAGCCACTTGCAGAGGACCTGAAAATGAGTATAGAATGAAATCAAGAATATCACTATTTGGAGGTGGGGCATGTGTGTGATTTTTTTTATTTAATATTTTTTAATTTTTTATTTATTATAATTTATTCACTTTGTATCCCAGCTGTAACCCCCTCCCAAACCCACCTTCCCTCTTCTCCCATGGCCCTCCCCCAGTTCACTGATAAGGGAGATCCTCCTCCCCTTCCATCTGACTCTAGTCTATCAGGTCTCATCAATAGTGGCTGCATTGTCTTCCTCTGTGGCCTGGTAAGGCTGCCCACCCCCTCAGGGGGAGGTGATCAAAGAGCCAGCCCCTCTGACATGACTGAGTTCATGTCAGAGACAGGCCCTGCTCCCCTTGCTAGGGAACCCACTTGGACACTGAGCTGCCATGGGCTACATCTGTGCAGGTGTTCTAGGTTATCTCCATGAATGGTCCTTGGAGTATCAGTCTCAGAAAAGACTCCTGTGCCCAGATTTTTTGGTTCCATTGCTCTCCTTGTGGAGCTTCTTATCCCTTCCACGTCTTTCTATCTCCCACTTCTTTCATAAGATTTCCTGCACTCTGCCCAAAGTTTGGCTATGAGTCTCGGCATCTGCTGGGTATCTAAGTCTTTCTGAGGCCCTCTGTGGTAGGATCCTGTCCTGTTTCCTGTTTTCTCCCTTTTCCAATGTCTGTCCCACTTGCCTTTTTGAGTGAGGATTGAGCATCTTACCCCGGGTCCTCCTTCTTGCTTAGCTTCTTTAGGTGTACAGATTTTAGTATGTTTACCCTATATTATATGCCTAATATTCACTTATAAGTGAATATATACCAAGTGTGTCTTTCTGCTTCTGGGTTACCTCGCTAGCATGATCTTTTCTTGTTCCTACCATTTGCCTGCAAATTTCATGATTTCCTTGTTTTTAATTGCTGAGTAGTATTCCATTGTGTAAATGTACCACAATTTCTGTATCCATTCCTCAACTGAGGGACATCTGGGTTGTTTCCAGGTTCTGGCTATTACAAATAAAGCTGCTTCGAGCATGGTTGAGCACACAATCATTAGGTTTTACTTCAAAAGCCTATACACAACAAAATTTGAAAATCTAAATGAAATAGACAATTTTCTTGATTGATTCCACTTACCAAGGCTGAATCAAGACCAGGTAAATGAATAGTGTGTGATTTAAAAAAAAAAAAAATTAGTTAAAACTAAAGGAAGGATTTGAAGGTAAACTGCACAGATACATGTAGATAACTTTACATCACACACCCACACATATACACACAGGCAGGCATTCTCTTTCGCCTACACAAACACATACACACACACACACACACACACACACACACACACACACACCGAGCGGCTAATTCTGCATCAGCTTTCTCGGCTGGCATTTGGGAATAGGTCTTTGTTGCTGGGCCTGTGCTATAGGAAGCAGCTACTGCCACCTTTACCCCTTGGATAAAAGCAGTGCCCCATTGTGACAAACAAAACTATTCAGGCCTATTTAATATTCTGTGAGAGGTCAATTGAGAGCCACTGTTCTACATGCAGGGGTAAATAAGCCCAAATGTTTTAGAGTGCTTATCCAAGCAAAGAGTGTGATATTGTAGGTTTTTAGATTACAAAAAAAAAAAAAAGAAAAAGAAAAAGAAAAAAGAAAAAGAATGGAACAAAGAAGAGAAATAATAGTCTAGATACTTCTATACATTTCTATTCAAATACTTATTTTCTGATGTAATAATTTTTTTCTGTTGTAATACTTTAATGGATGTTGACAAGAATTAAAAGAAGAGGATTTGAGAAGCTGAAGATACAGCCCAGGTGAAAAAGCTCTTGGGGCTAGAGAGATTGCTCAGCGGTTAAGAGCGCTGGCTGCTCTTCCAGAGGACCTGAGTTCAAGTCCCAGTACCACATGACAGCTCACAACTGTCTGTAACTCCAGATACAAGGGATTGCCACCTTCACACAGACATACGTGCAGGCAAAACACCAATATACATAAAAATAAATAAATCTTTAAAAAAAAAAAAAAAAAAGAGTCCTTGCCTAGTGTTCACAAAGCCCTGGGTTTGATCTCCAGCACTTCATAAACTGGAGTGGCAATGCCAGCCTAAAGTCCCATGACTTGGGAGGTAGAGGCAGGAGAACCGCAAAGTCATCTTTGGCTGCCTAAGGAGTTCAAGCCTAGCTTGGGTAATTGAAACGTTGTATCAACAAAAATAAAAACAAACAATGGCACTGAGAAGAAACCTCAATACCTGCTTGAGAAAGTGTTAAATAAAGGATTTAAAAAGCCAAGAGAAGAAGGTTGAAGCTTAGGTTTAATGTCAGGGGATTTTGTAAATAAGAGAGAAGAGCAAGCAGTGGTAACTACAGACTTAGTAACAAGATGAAAAGCTGTCACAGAGAAGGAAAGCCCTCCTCTTGAGCCCTGTCCCCTTTCATAAGAGGACTTGGAAGTTCCAGAGAAAGTACAGGAAGGCTCCGCCCAAGGTCACATGACAGATACATCATGCTAACAGCAGGAAAAGCTGGAGAGCTCCACATAAAACATACAACATCAGGACAGTGAACATCGCACAGAACAGACTGTGCTCCTCCACACCAAGATGCAGATGGGGAAAAACAGACATCAGTCCTTAAGGTGGGGGTGTGCCCATCAGCCTTCCGACCGCACGTGCCCAAGACTGTGAGAACCACCGGTGGTGGGTGACTGCAGACACAGCAGGCCTGACGCACATATGAACTCTCAGAGACGGGGACAGCACGCACCAGACCAGACAAAATCCCGGCACTGAGAAAGAGAAACGGACACAGGGTCCCACCGTTAACCAATTGCCATTTGCAACTGATGCCTGCTGGGAAAGGGAAGGTCTGTGTTCTCCAATGGGATGTCACTGGGTGTTATCAACCACACTCCAGAGCAGACCCCATGCCCACCCAGGCGTTTATGTTGTTGTTTTGTTTGTCTGTTTATTTGGGAGGTTTTGGGTGTTGTTGTTGTTTTGTTCTCACTGATAATTTTTTTTAAGTTTGTTTGTTTTGATATTTGTTTTGTTGTTCCTGCTTATTTCTGAGAGGAAGGGGAAAAGAGAGAAATTAAGTAGGGTGGGTGAGTGGGTAGGAAGGATCTGAAAAGAGTTGGGAAAGACTGTGATCAAAATATGTTATATGCCAGGCA